GTGGAGTCCTCAGGTGGTCTGGGAGGGAATTCCACAGGCGAGGAGCAGCTGCACAGAAAGCCCGATCCCCCATTGTGCGTAGTTTGGTCCTGGGGGGGCGAAGCAGATGGTTGGTTGTGGAGCGGAGGTTGCGTGTGGAGGTTTGAGATGTGAGAAGTTCCTTCAGGTATGGAGGAGCGTTCCCGTGGATGCATTGATGGGTCAGTAGTGCGATCTTGTAGTCGATCCTGAATGAGACAGGAAGCCAGTGGAGGGAATGAAGAACGGGTGTGATGTGGTTGTATTTTCTCACCCTCATCAGGATCCTAGCGGCACTGTTCTGTACATATTTGAGCTTCTGAAGGCTCCCGCTAGGAGTCCCGATGAGGAGAGCGTTGCAATAATCGAGCCTTGAGGAGACGAAGGCATGGACCAGTTGTTCAGCATCTGACAGGGAGAGTGTGGGACGGAGTTTAGCAATGTTCCTGAGGTGGTAGAAGGAGGTTTTGCACAGGTGTTTGATGTGGGTGTCAAAAGTCAGATGTCTGTCAAATCTTACACCCAGGTTGGTAACTGCTGTGGAGAGGGGTATGTTTTGGCCAGAAAAGGTAATGTGGGTTATGGGGGATGACTGGACCTGGTTTGGTGTGCCAACTAAAATAGCTTCTGTTTTGGAGCTATTTAGTTGCAGGAAGTTTTCTCGCATCCAAGCCTTTATCTCCTCAATGCAGGTGTTAAGGGATGTTGATGGGAACGGTGACGATGATGGTGACAGTGACGATGCATGCGGGATAGGGTCTGTCTTTATATATAGCTGCGTGTCATCAGCATAGCAATGGAATGATAATCCATGCCTGCTGATGACACGGCCAAGGGGCAGAGTGTATAGGGTGAACAGAGTGGGCCCAAGGACCGACCCTTGAGGGACACCACAGGTGACAGGGTGTGTCTGGGACCTCGCACCTCCCAAGGAGACGTACTCTGTTCTTCCAGACAGGTAGGACTGGAACCAGCTCAGGGCGGAGTCAGAGAGTCCGATGGTGTGTTTGAGGCGCTGAAGGAGGATGTTATGGTCGACAGTGTCGAATGCTGCAGTCAGATCCAGGAGGATGAGGAGAGATGGGGATCCAGTGTCAGCCGCCATCAACAGGTCGTTTGTGACCCTGACCAGAGCTGTTTCAGTGTTGTGGGCGGAACGGAAACCGGACTGGAATTTTTCAAAGAGGCCGTTTAGTTGTAGATGGTCCTGAAGCTGGGTGGCAACTACTTTTTCCAGCATCTTGGCTAGAAATGGGAGGTTGGAGATGGGCCTGTAGTTGGCGAGGACATCTGGGTCTAGGGTGGGTTTTTTGAGAAGAGGTCTGATGACGGCAGTTTTAAGAGCCAATGGAACATAGCCAGCCTTGAGGGAGCTGTTGATGGCGTAGGTGATCATGGGACTTATAGCCGAGATGTTCGATTTGACAAGGGCTGTGGGTAGAGGGTCTAGTGTGCAGGTGGAGGGTTTCATCTTGCAGGTGATGTCCTCAACCTCTTGCTGAGAGATCTCCGTGAAGCAACAGAGCGGTTGGAAAATCCCATGCTGTGGGTTAACAGTAGGGACAGACACAGCGCAAGGGGTGGAGAGAAGAGAGCGAATAGTGGCAACTTTTGTCCTGAAGAAAGTAACAAAGTTATTGCACTGCTCTTCTGTAGTGTCGATGTGTGAGGGAGTTTGTGGCTTGAGGAGATGATCAACAGTAGAGAAAAGCTGCTTGGAGTTTCCAGGATTTTTACTGATGATGTCGGAGTAGAATTGTAACCGTGCTTTTTTGAGTGACTTTGAGTAGGTTTTTTGATGTTCCTGATAGGCTAATCTGTGAACAGTGAGTCCAGATCGTGCGAGACGCCGCTCGAGTACACGCCCAGCTGCCTTCAGGCTACGCAACTCTGAAGTGAACCAAGGGGCTGAGCGGGAGAAGCTGACTGTTCGTGATTTCAGTGGGGCGTGGAGATCCAGGACAGTACTCAGGGTTTTGTTGTAGTATTCCACTGATTCACTGACTGTAGTGAAGTTTGCAGAGGGGGGGATTTGCTGCAGGTCCAAAGTCATGATGTCTGTGTCGATGTGTTTCAGATTTCTGAAATAGATTTGACGTTTGGGTTTAATGTGGTGAGACAATTTGAACTCCATTGAAACAACCTTGTGATCCGACACTCCCAGATCGTACACCAACAGATTTGTGATGGGGGCCGAGTCAGTGATAACCAGGTCAAGCGTGTGCCCCCTGGTGTGTGTGGGGACATCAACATGCTGTTTGAGGTTGAGAACATCCAGTAGTTGCAAGAAGTCAGCTGCAGGTTGGCGGGAGGGGGTGTCAACATGGATGTTCAAATCCCCCAGTATGACAGTATTTGCAGATGTGGTACAGACTGAAGAGAGAAGTTCATTTATCTCTGAGATGAAGGCTGGGTTTGGTTTGGGTGGCCGGTAGATGAGAATAATAGTCATGGGGAAAGGGGGTTTGCATTTGAATGCGAGGCATTCAAAGGAGGATAGGTCAGGAAGAGACAAGGGGGTCAGTTTCAGGTCACTGCGGTGTATTACGGCTAAGCCTCCACCGCGACCAGTGCGGCTGGCTTTCTCCAGGTAATTATAGCCAGGAGGGGACAGGTCTCAGTAAGACACATTAAGTCAATCCCCCTATCTAGGATGTGATCATGTATGAGACATGATTTATTAGTGAGGGATTGTGTGTTAAATAGTTCTATTTTGAGGCTTGATGAGATGGTGCTATGTAGAGGAAGAAGTAGGCTGAAATCCACTCCACGTTTTCCGTCCCGCTTGGTGTGTAGAAGTCTCGCGGGGTTTCCAGAGCTACTACTAGTTCCATGAGCAGCTGTATTCTGATGACGTGGAAATAGTGCGACAGTGCGCTCAGCTGACCAGAGTGATGGAATGGAGTCTCCAGACTGGGAATAAACAAACTTTCTACGGGAGCTTCTGTGGATATAGCGGCTTCGGCGTAGAATTCCAAGTTGTTTAAGTGCTGAGATACAGGTTGGAGTGCTGTAATGTCTTAACTCGAGCAGCTGCGAGATGGAGTACTTTAGCATCATGCCGGTCCGGACAGATGCAGTTGGTAGCTGTTTGTGTTTGCCACGGACCTGCCAGCCAGAGATGGGGAAAGAGCCAGAAACACAGAAAGATCCACTGCATGGCAGAAGATCGAGATGGGTGGAGAAGTTGAGCTGGAATTGTTTGTGGTAGGTGTCGTTGCTGGCGTAGCGGCTAACCTTATTAGCCACTCGTAGCTCAATAAGGTTGAGCTACCTTATTAGCCACTTGTAGCTTAGACGTTAGTAGCTCGTCCATCCGACGAGGGATTTGCAGGAAAGTGGATTATTGTCTGGGTATAGTTGGTATAAGCATCCATATAATCCGTGCAAAAACAAAAGAAAAGCAGTAGAATCCTTGCTAAAAATAACAAAAGAGGCTACGAGGGAGAAGCGGCAACAGACCGTGCCAGCGTCCTCTCTCCTACAACCGATAGAGTCAAGAAGTGGTCTGGCTCCTCTTAGTTAGCTTTGAGCGAGAGCACTCAGCTAACTGGAGGATAGAACAGGAACTAATTGTGAGCTGTGAGAGGGGAGCGAAGACCCTCTCTTCACTAGCGCTGTAGCAAGTTAGCTTTGACCGAGAGCACTCAGCTAACTGGAGGATAGAACAGGAACTAATTGTGAGCTGTGAGAGGGGAGTGAAGACACTCTCTTCACTAGCGCTGTAGCAAGTTAGCTTTGAGCGAGAGCACTCAGGTAACTGGAGGATAGAACAGGAACTAATTGTGAGCTGTGAGAGGGGAGCGAAGACACTCTCTTCACTAGCGCCGTAACAGTTAGCTTGAACGAAAACATTCAGCTAACTGGACGATAGAACAGGTAAGGAAACAAATGTATGTAGTGAGAGGGGGGGGCGGAGACGCTCCCTTCACTAGCGCCGTAACAGTTAGCTTGAACGAAAACACTCAGCTAACTGGACGATAGAACAGGCAAGGAACCAAATGTATGCAGTGAAAGCGGGGCGGAGACGCTCCCTTCACTAGCGCAGTAACAAATTAGCGAGAGCCCTCGGCTAACTTGTACACAATTATCTCATTAGCTTGAGAATAGATAGCACAATCAGTGATAAATGGTAGCGATCTCACCGGCTGTGTGCAGGAGCTCCTGGGGTCCGAGCGGTGAACACCGCGGTCCCCTCCCTTGGGAGGGCGGACAGCTCGTCGCAGCCTTTGGAGGGCGAGCGTTTTTTCTAGCCCGCAGCCCCGATCGAGACGATCGCAAGGCTACAGGTAGCGATGAGCTAGAATTTTCAATAAGCTAGCTTGGCTTCTACTCATAAAGTAGTAACCTGCGCAGCGAGAAGATGAAAAAGAACTCAACTCGTTGACAACACCGGAACTTATGCCTTCCGGGGTCATACGAGGTCACACGTGACTTTGTTGATATAAATATTCGACCTACGCATGCGCGAGACAGAAGATATCCAGTGCTAAAGCACCGCCTCTGGCGGTCAGTAAGGATGAAATAGAACTTTGTGCAATATACCCTCTGGACAGTCACGCTTTATTTTGTCTCTCAATTAGTTGCTTTACTTATTGTGTTTTTTTATGTTAATAACGTGTGCATACTTTGTTATTTTTTAATATGTAAGTATATTCTCTTAACTTTATCTACACTATACCTCTGCTGTAAATGTCCTCGTTGCGTGACGAATGAAGGAGTTCTGATTCTGATCATCAGAAGCAGTGGACACACCTGACTGAAGGTAAAAGTACTCAGCGACCCCAGAAACCAGACTCCATGACCGCTATGAGCATTGCAGCATTTAGCCAGACCCAGCATGCACCTGTTGGTCACACAACAATGTGGGTATGTTTGATTTGGGTCACTGAATATTCCCACCATTACATCAGTGCTTAATGAAGGTGTGTGTTACATTCTTTAACTACACGGAGGAACAAAAAAGCCAACAGAAACCATAATGATGTCATCCTTCATTTTATTGTAGCTCTGTGTATTTTTGTACAGCTCACTATTTGCAAGCCCCGGCCCAGGTTAAACTGAACACCCCATAACTCTGCAACTCTCATTTCACTCTTTACCGATGCCCACTGACTTAAGAGTTAATGTCCCAGACCGTTAGAGACGGATTGAAGTGAACCTTGAAGTGTATCTTGGTTAAATTATTAGTACAAAAATTAGCAACTACTGGAGAAAAAACAAACAAATATCTGGTACTTTTATATAAAATCAGAAGTGTGTGTACATAAATTAGAACAAAAGTCAACTTGCATATTCTTTAAACTCTAATGTAAACTTTGCAAATCTGTCCTATTTGTTTCAAAAACTACACAGCCCTTTTCATTATCAAAACATCTAGACTTTGTATTATCTGTGTCTTGACCTTTAGTGTTATGCTTTAGTATACAAAGCCATATTCCTTCAAATACACTATGTGTAACTCTTGTTGTCTGAAACATGATTGTGAGAAGCTCACACTGAAAGTCCTGCTTCCACTGGATTCTTTAGGATTAGGATTTGATCCGATGTAAAATGCCTCTAAGATCTTTGTTCAAGCCATATTCATCAATATGTCAGCGGGGTCTGAATGATGTCTCACAGGGACGTGTTGCTTTAGATGGGTCACACTCAACACATGACTATTACACCTGCAGGTATGATGAGTATATACATGACACCAGGCTGGATAAAGGGAGATGACAATGAGTTGTTTTTACGAGCATCTTTTTCTTGTAACATCTTCCTTTAACAAAGATATTCATTGTGCTTGTTGTGTGGAGCTGAATGTAGCTGTGGTTGTGACGAGGGCACACGTTGTCTTCTGAACACTAAAACCACTCTTCCTCAAGCTATTTCAGTAACATGAAGATTTAAACAACTGCAGTTTATGCCAAGCATGACGATAAATGACAAAAGATTCTAATAATCAATTTAATAAATTAAACTGCAAGTGCAAGGATGTCCAGATGCTGAAAGAACAGAATCACATGACACAGAACAAAATGACTGCAATTGTGAAGTAATAATGAGCGATAGTAAATGAATCACAAGTGATAAGTCCATCAGACGACATCTGTCACGTGAACCTTTGGCAGGCAGAATCCACCGAGTGGAGGAAAGCTCGAGGAGCTAGAGGACAGAGCTGTGGCCGGGAATCAGGAAGCGCTGCGCTCACATCACACAGTGAATATGAATCTGTTGGTCCTCATGTACATGCTAGGATGGTGGGGGGGGTCACCATAAACAATAGATACAATTCATTGTTCTTTTACTTCATACTGCAGGACCATCTTGAACTTTGACCCTCTTGCTCTTATATCTGCTATCCAGTCAGACAAATGTGGTGTTTTTGGCATTCTGGGTTTGACATACTATGAATTGGAACATATTAAATGTTTTTCTGGCACACTAAATAGTTTGGTCCTATGGGGATGAACATCCAGTGGGGTTCTCACCCTCACTACTCAGGGGGCACTAAGTATTTCTTAATACAGCGGTGAATACTTATCTCAATAAAAGTTAGAGTAAATCTCTCCAGACAATGTTCATCACAGCTAACTGTGTTTTTATCAAAACTCTCATATATACACCGGATATTACTTTACAACAGTTCCCACATCCTTACTGCACTGATTGATAATTGGTGTCATCAAAACTTTGCAGAGAAATGATTTGCTCACTATGAAAGATGACTCAGAGGGACATGGCGTTGCCTCAGGGCGTTTGTTCATTGACTCATCACCATATATTCTAAATAATTTATACATCCATAATAATTTACCAGATTTTGAGCTCTGCATTAAACACTTTACAGCGACATATAAAACAACAGAATTCTGCAGGTTACTACAGACATGGTGTAAACATCATAATAACAACAGGACTCACTACAGCTCAGACAGTGCAAATCAAACGCTGAGAGAGCAGATGAACACACTGATACAAACCTTAAGCACCCTCACATCCTAACGCAGGATCAATAGAGGGACAGGAAACATCTCTGTGGCTGCAGAGTGTGTGTGTGTGTGTGTGTGTGTGTGCACGTGCGTGTGTGCGTGCGTGTGTATGTCCGCTGTGAGCCGCGTTCTGCAGTTAGAGCTCCTCGGCCATCTGCAGCAGAGAGTTGATGGCAGCGTCCTTGTTGCCCTGCTGGGCGTCCAGCACGGTGCGGACCACCTCGGGGTCCAGGTTGGGGAACATGTCCTGCAGAGCCTTCAGGTCCTCCTCGCTGCACACCGGCCCCGGGCCCCCCACTGCGGGCACGGCTGCGGGTAACCCCATCGGCACCATGCCCTGGTTGTAGACTGCAGGCACTCCTAGCAACACAACACACACTGCTGATGTAAGAGCCAGACACAGAGGGGGGGGGGGAACTAACAGAGAAGAGCCAGCCCAATAAAAGGTCTTAGGCTTTTAAAATAACTATTTATGCTGCTGTAACAACAACAATTTCTCAATTTGGGATCAATAAAGTACTATCTATCTATCTATCCATTAGGTTTTAATCCTTTTTTCAGGCAAGACAGTAACCACTTAGCTTCAAAATATGTGATCAGTTTATCCAAATAACATACATTTTTGGATTTGATGTCGATGTTTGGAGCTGACGAGGGTAGACACAGGTCGGCAATGTAAATAACCTCAGGGTATTTAATAATATTTAGAAGTTAAACCACCAATTTGGGGATAGTTAGAAAGATACTTAGCTAGCTAGGCATCTTGTTAGATAGATAGCTAACATCTGCCAGCTAGCACACTGTTAATTAATACTGTCTGTAGGTCAACTAGTTTTTATAAATTTCAACCCTGTTGACCTGTGGCTACCCTTCTGACGGTGAAGGTGATTACAAAAACACGTGTGTGTGTGTGTGTGTGTGTGTGTGTGTGTGTGTGTGTGTGTGTGTGTGTGTGTGTGTGTGTGTGTGTGTGTGTGTGTGTGTGTGTGTGTGTGTGTGTGTGTGTGTGTGTGTGTGTGTGTGTGTGTGTGTGGTGTGTGTGTGTGTGTGTGTGTGTGTGTGTGTGTGTGTGTGTGTGTGTGTGTGTGTGTGTGTGTGTGTGTGTGTGTCTGACCGACCTGCAATGGGCACATATCCCACCCCCTGCTGGTACACAGAGGGCATCAGGACGACGGGCTGGGTCACCATGCCTGCAGGTAAGGACTGACAGAGAGGAGAGATGAAGAACTGAACATGTTCATCACACCTAAAGAGGGGTGGGGTGGATAAGAATATAATGCAAAATGGCATTATATTGTATATGGTTTTCTTTGTATTAAGACTAAGAAACGACTCATAACCTGGAAGATGGTTCAAATATATCTCAAAATGAATATAATATATTTAATTTTTATAGCGCTTTTCTCGAATATGATTGTGAATATAACCTACTCAATTGCTATTGAGAACATGAGTCCTATTTACCTTGATTATTTGGGAACATGATACGCTTTGCATTTATTATGTGTCCATAATACACAGGAATATTTCTCGTATTGCACTGTGCTGGTGTTGTTAGTTTATTGTGTTGTTTGCTGTAAAAAAGTTGAATAAAGTCTAAGTGGTGGAGTTGCACATCCTCCACATGAGGGTCTCAGGAGTGGGGAAGAGTACGAGAGAGAGTGCACTCACAGCGAAAGACATCACCAGGTTGATCATGCCCTCCTTGTCGTCGCCCTGCCGACCGCTGAGGGTGAACCACTCGTCCACCACGCTGCCCCCCCGCAGGCTTTCAGGGATGGTGACGTGAGTCCATGCTATCCTGTCGTCCATGGAGAACGCTCTCTGGAAACAGACAAACAGCACGCTCAGAGCTCACTCACTGAACACATGCTGAGAGAGACAGTTCTGTCTGATTAACTGTTCCAAATATCCCAGGAAACACAGGGAGAACAATTGTATATAAATAAACATTCTGTGGTTAAGGTATTCTTCTAACATGGGCTGCGTTTCACTTCTCTTATTTTTCATTTCCTCGCTCCTTGGTCTCGGTCTCACCGGAAGTTGATTTGTCTGCGCCATCTTGAGTAGCGTCCCAATGGCCTTATTTTTGCCGGAGGAGCGAGGAGCGATAATGGAGGAGCGATAGTCGAGGAACTACCGGACCATCCTTCGATGAAATCCTCAGACACTCGCCCCGCCCCCTTACTGTGTATCGCTCACTGATTGGACGATGCAGTGCATGCACTGATCTGATGCTTCTTGACATGAGAGCAGTTTCCCAGCGGAGTGAAGAAAACACATGAAACTCACGGGACTCACTCCTCAGTTTATACTGTGTTTTGTTTCAATTAATGCATCATTCAGTTACAAATATGTGATATATCTGAACAACAAAGTGGTCAAAAATCATTTTATTCATTTTTTGGAAACATTTTCATGATCGCTTTTTTCGTTTTACATTTTCATTTATTGTCATTTCCATTCAGTCAGTCATTAAGTGCTATTTAAAATGTTAATTTGCTACATATCCACACAAACAAACAAAGTGTGCAATCCAATGAATGTTAATCTAACTGGGTTTTGATAGATAACATATCTCTTTTTCTTCTCTCAATTATTTTATTTCTATTGTTCTAATCAATATTAATCCAACTATTGTTCGTTTATACATTTTAAGAATGGCGTTTATCTTTTTTGAGAATGAGTTCTTATTTTATTTAATGTATTTGGGTCTACAACAGATGATACAAATGTTTGTGTCAGTAAATGTGTACTAACAGAGGCGGGGGTGTTTGTGAAAATAACGGGGACAGAGCTGCTGTCAGACGAACAGCTGTGCGGCGTCATCACAAACGGACGTCGCTTCACGTGACGCTCCGGAGGAAAAGGACGTCCCATTGCTCTTAAAACTCATTTCCCTGCTTCTCGTGGTTTCCTTGCGTCTCTCCATGCTTCCCTGGTGGGAGGGACTAGTCGCAGGGAAACAACGCAAGTGAGGGACGCAAGGAATCCATTTAATCGAAGTGAAACGCAGCCCTTGTCTTCACTAGATGTGGTTTAGTTTAAGCCCAATGACTATGGTCCCCAGTTTAACTAAACACACTGTCGCACACATGCACTGCAACAGGGGGTGCACCCCTGGTCCCATAACAATTCATTTGTAGCACAGTACTATACTTGAAATAAAGAAAAAATCAAAGATTAAAAAAAGAAAAGTACTTGTGTAACTTTGTGAGGTGGTAAGGAGGCAATCATCATCGGGATGGAAACTAAATAAGAGTTGTAAATATCTGTTCAAAGGGCACTGCCTTTAAACACCCGCCTTATCAGATATGTCTAAACTGAATGAATATTAAAGGCCTTTGCCTTTATGTTTTTTTGTAAAATATGTTTTGACTTTTATCAGCATATAGCTGAACAGTATATAAGAACATCAATTTAAAAACTGAAACTAGTTCAAATGTTCATAATTTCTCATCTCATAATCATCTTCTTGTCTGTACGGGTGTTACTGTTGGAGTATCACTGAATGTTTGTACTGTGGTTCTTAATGCGGTTTGGAAACTGTTACACCCCTTCTTATCCATGTGTGTGTGAGTACTGTAGGGGACGGATTCAGCAGGTCCCCTTCCTCACCTCATCAAAGATCTCCAGGTAGAAGGAGTCCACCCCCGGGGGCACGGTGCACTGGATCACCTTGTTCCAGCGCGGGTTCTTGGCTCCGTTGTGAGCAGTGGGGGTCTCGTACACTGCGTAGCCCAGCCGGACCCGGCAGTACGGATCCATCCGGGTCATCCCGTAGTTCTTAGCCAGCTTCCCCTTCAGAGCAGAACAGACAGGACCAGTGTGATATGATCCACAGGGGGACAGACATCCAGATGAGACACAGCTGTGTGTGTGTGTGTGTGTGTACCTGCACCACTGTGATGCTGAGTCGCCCCACAGTTGCCATGGAGCCCCCGTACTGCAGCTGGTGGGCCGCCTGTGCGTCCAGGTGCACCTGCTGCTGCTGCTGGGTGGGGGTGATCCGCAGGAAGTCCTGGGGAAGCTCCCCAATGTACACCTGAACACACACACACACACACACACACACACACACACACACACACACACACACACACACACACACACACACACACACACACACACACACACACACACACACACACACACACACACACACACACACACACACACACACACACACACACACACACACACACAATGGCAATTCAAAGATGACAAAAAAGACCTGAGACAAATTTAACTGCCAGAGTAAAGAGCTAAAGTTAGGCTATAAGGAACTAGATCTTGGTCACATGACTTCATGTCAACATCACTAAGCTACAGGTGGCAAATGTTTGGTGTGATGACAATAGTCTCATTTAGACACTTGTTAGCAAACCCTGAAGCTTCTGAAGACAACTCTCCTAAGCTTGTGTTAACCACAGATCTTATTTCAGGCATCTAACCAAAAGACATGTTCAGAATAATTCGAAGGTAACAGAAGCACAGCGTTCCAGGTAATTATTCACAACTGCGAAACATATGTAGTTATGAATACTGTATTCCATTTCTGCAAATGTATGCCCATAACAGTATACTGTCCCTTGATTGTGGAATCAAACAATTATACACAAATGATCGCGTTCAGGCCATTATGTTTTTCTGCCACATGTCTAGTTTCCCCCTCTTTACGATCCCCCACATCAAGTGTGGCCTTTCAGAACAGCTACAAACACTTTTGCCTTTGACCTGGTCTAAGGACACATCGTAAAATGTCTTTTTTTTTTACATGTCTGGACTGTCAGAACATCCAGCCCGAGTCACAAGAGTCATTTTGAAAGCATTCAACAGCTCAGCATCACTGCAGACAGCACATGATACATTCTGTTCTTGTATATATCATATTCTATTTACGTGTATGTAGACTTCTTGCACTATTATTTTATTTATATTTTTGGATTTTATTATATCACTATGTTGCATTGTTGGAGGAGCTCGGGTCATAAGATTTTAATTCCATCATTTATCATAGCATAGCAAATACTGGCAGTTATCATGAGACTCAAGTTAGATTCTAAAGTTGCATGATGAAATCAGAAACAATGCCCGACGTGTTTTGGACGTCATATGTGACCCGCTCTATAGAAATCAGTCGGAAGTCGCAACGGCTCATTTCAAAATAAACGTGGATTTGCGTAAAAAAATACGCATTTTTTTCGGGGTTCGGGTGTTTTGTTTGATTTTAACTAAACAAAGTCTTGGCTTTCAGAATATGAAACTTTTAATTCCAAAATCACACGATAAATACATTTTTGAAGCTTGTAAAGGGAAGATGACAGGCACCTCTCACTCGCACTCTGCTGTTCCGCAGCACCGCTCTCCCTCCCTCCCGCTAAGTTATGAATGTAAGGCGTGTATAGTAATCATAGATAACACGGCAGGGTCCGTGAGAGTTTGTTTTCATCTGATTTCAAACAAACAAAGTCTTGGCTTTCAGAATATTAAACTTGTTTCGGCAAATTCAACTGATAAATACAACTTTGAAGCTTGTAACGGCCTCCATGATCAAGCGGCTTCTCCGATTTTGTTGTCAATGTTTGACTGAACTTTGTTACTGTTCACATATAAGTAAACATTACGTTTTAATGATTTAGTGTGCTGGTGTTATCTTTTTCAAACCACACACTGTCCACCTACTTATTGATCCACTATCAGCGTCAGTGCACCCCGCTGCCAGATTGTGCCTGTGCGTCATTCACTCTCAACATGGATACAAGTACAATAAGCATTCTTCAGGTGTAGGTAGATTCTCTATTCGGGCATGATAGCCTACTGTATATGTGCGACTGTCGGTCCGATATTGAAAAAAAAAAAAAAACTTAATTTAAAATGTTTTTATTTATTTTTTATTCTCAAAATTCCGGGCCAAATATTATTGCTGGCGGGCCAACAATGGCCCGCGGGACGCCTGTTGCCGACCCATGCTGTAGGCTGTACACTCTAATTCAACTTTTACATTTCTATTTGCAGGTTGCCTCGTGCACAAACAAATATGAGGTAAAAAGAAAACGCAAATGGTTGCCGGAGTGGAAGAAGTCCTTCCCATTTGTTGAATTTGATGCAGAGACAGGCATGATGTTCTGCAAAAGCTGTCGTGCTTTTCCCAGTCTTGCGAAAGGGAACAACCTTTTCATTGGTGTGGGTGATGGCAAAATCCGGATAAAAACACTCCAAGAACACAGCAAAACTACATCACATTCTGACTGCTCAGGCGCTCAGGCTGCGAAAGTAAACCCAAGCGGAACACCCATGGCTTGTGTCCTACACAAGATGTCAGAGAATGTCAGAGAAAAGATGAGAAAGCTATTTAATATAGCTTACTTTGTGGCAAAAGAAGAAACCCCCTTCACCATGTTTCCAAGCCTAGTTGACTTGCATCACAAAAATAATCTGGACCTTGGTGACACTTACAAGAACGACAATGCCTGTCGCACCTTTGTCCAGGCCATAGGTCAATCTATGAAGGATGACCTGGTGGAGAAACTAAAAAACACACACTTCTTCTCTGTCATGTCCGATTCGAGTGTTGATCGCTCCGTGAAAGATCAGGAGATGGTCTAATTGACATATGTGGAAGATGGCAAACCTGTCAATCAATTTGTGGACATTGTTTTATTGGAGCATGCCCACAGCCAAGGCATCCTTGACGCAATACTTGTTGGTTTGAGGAATGTGGGCCTGACTGAGCAAGACTTGAAATCCCGGATGGTTGGCTTCGGCTGTGATGGTGCATCTGAGTTCACAATGGAGTGGCAGCCAAGCTGAAACAAATGTGTCCCTCAATTGTACCAATCTGGTGTGTGGCTCACAGACTGGAGCTGTCAGCGCTTGACAGCATCAAATCAGTGCCTCTGCTGGCTGAATTGAAGGAGACACCGAATGGTGTTTACAAGCACTACTCCCACTCTGCAAAAGCTCCCCGTGAGCTCCATGCACTTGGGAAAGTTATGGGCATAAATGTGGTCAAACCAGGTAACATTGATTGGACAAGATGGCTTCCACATATGTCCAGAGCCCTTGAAGGTTTGGTGAAAAACTTCAAAGTTACCCTGGTTCACTTTGAGAACCATGCTAGTGATCCGAATGACAGGGAGAGCACGTGCCATTCATCGGTCCCTGACACAGTACAAGATGGTGATGTTCATTCACTTGGTGATGGACATTGTTCAGGAGCTGAAGCAGCTCAGCCTGCTGTTTCAGAGGGATGGACTGACCTTGCAGATGGTCTCTGATGGACTACAAACGACAACACTGTCACTTGTAGCCATGCAGGTCAGTAACATTTATTTTGATTAATTGTTGAACATTAACAATTGAATATATAGGAATTGGTAAAACTGGTATTTATATAATCCCTAAATATGAAAAACTGTGAAGATATTTTGTAATTTGTGATTATATTATTGAAAAACTGTGGAAGTATTTTGTGCTGTTATTATATAATAAGAAATATTTAAAATGTGAATAATGTACGCCTGGAAATGTACACATTATCAACATCATCATAGTAAATATTCCATATATTATACACATTTCAAATATTTATTATTATAGTCACAATATAACATACTTTAAAACGTTTTCATTTTATGGATTACAATGAGTAAAATGTTTTTTCTTTCCTTTTATTACAAACCTAGACAGACCCAGGCCCGAGGCTCCAGAAGGTACTGGATGAGGTTGGACCTGGAAACACCTGGCAGAATGTCCAGCTCAACAGGAGGGAAACGGACAGAAGACACAGCTGAACTGGCGACATTTGGCAATGCTGAGCTCATTGAATTCATGGAGCATTTCCAATCCATCCTTGCAGAATGCGGGGACTTTACTTCTGGAGAGGCAGCTAAGAGAGAGTGGCTTGACCTGAAAGTCCTCGTACAGCGTCACTACAGGCACATTGAACCCCAGGTGCTGTGGCAGAGGCTACTTACAGGTGCTATTGGAAGGGAAGACCAGTTTAAGCAAATGAAGGTCATAGTGGAGATCACACAAGTGCTCCCCATGAGTTCATCTTGCTGCGAGCGTGGATTCTCCAGCATGAAGAGAATTAAGTCAGACTGGAGGTCTTGCTTGTCTAACGAGATGCTTAGCTTCCTCCTGCACATCTCAGTTCATGAAGTGGTGGAGTAGTGGCTGCAGGACCAGAAGGCCCCAGTTCCAAGACTAATTAATATGTCAAGGTCTCCTGACTGTGTTACAGTCATCCTGGTTACTGGTTACTCTGGGTTCTGTCTTCAGGACAGAGTGTTGGATTTTTTTGTTAATTGGATGGGACTTGATTGGATTCAATATTAGAGTAACTTTCTCCTTTGTGTGTTTTTTAAAATATATTTGGCCTTTGTTTATGTGATTGACTGATTTACTCAAATAAAAAGGTTGATGAATTATCATCTAATGATTTGTATGGTGTTTTATTTATGTTAAGGTCACTTTGAATGTTTTAACTAATGATAATGTAGAAAAACTAATATTTTAAATTCGGGACGGTCCACATTCATTTCGGGACGGTTCCGGGAGGATGGTGAAAAAAGTTAGTCGAGAGCCCTGTAGCCATGTTTAGGAAAGTAAACACAGCTGTCCAATGAGGGTACAGGATAGGGATCAGTAAGCATAATAAGGAGGTTGACATAAACAGGCACTGAAATAATAGACTGTGCCTTTGAGCTAGCCCTGGGCTGTAATATGACATATGTTTTGAGTTTGTGTATAAGTTTGCTTAAATTTTGGTAGAGCTCCCCTGGAGAAAAATGCACCAGCCGCCACTGAATTCAGATTCAGATTATGCTCAGAAATCACAAGTCTTTTATTCGCCCCTCTCACTGAGAGAAAATATACGTTGTTGAGAAAAGAAAAATTGGCAAATACTATAAGTATAGCTATCATAACATAAAGAGGTAACCACACTTTAATTCAATCTAATAAATACACGAACATACTGTAGTAAGATTTGTCTTTTTTTTCATGTGATTTGGTTGGCAGCTCTGGGAAGAAGTTCAATTAAGTTGCAATTATTTCCCTTAAAGAGAAATGGTCAGATGTCAGGATGTGGTCAGGCCTGCTAGCATGATGCTACAGCGTGTTAATGTTGCATCTTTTATCAGCTGTGAGGCCTGAAATGGGGCTATCCTTCCAGAAGCACGCAATACAGGGCTTCCAATATTTACCCCACATGACCCAAACAATTCATGTGAAGTACTCTATTCATGTTGCCCTTTTATTGCTGCATGATCTTAACACCTATTTAGAATACGCTTCTGCAAACAAATGATGACTTGTCTGTATTATATTTCTTATTATTGCAGAGAAATGTATGCTATTATATAACATAATCACAGATAATTTAAAAAATGTGAGAAACCAAGGAGGTATACATCTACTGTATGAAGTGTGTTGCACAATTCCTATGCACTATTGTAAGTATTTTATTTGTATGTTAAGTACAAACCCTCATATGGTGCATTGTTGAAGGAGCCTGGGACTTAAACGACAAAAACATTTGTATCTTTGAGTCAATAAATATTTTTAAAACCCTTTAAAATGGCCTTCCCTCACCTTAAAACCATGTCCATGTACTATACAGCTGCTGAGGACACACTGAGCATCTGTCCCTGACCTGCTCTCATTACAGATGTGACAGCAACTGCTTTCCATTGTAAACAAAGCACACATGCATCATGATGGAGTCCTTTCCCTGAGGAACACCCTCAGTGTTCTAATGTATTTCCATTTAATAAGAGGTGTTTCTTTTACTTATTAAATGACTCACTTATCTACTCACTTGTTTACAATATACCATTAGCTAATACAACATATAAATCCACTAATACATAAACATATGATTAAAGGTTTAGATATCTAGCAGCAGCATATTGAGTCATCACAAGGAGCTGTGATTCATGCATCAATCATCATCATCCAGTAATATGATATATATTACACATAGCAAGTACTTTAACTGTTGGTACTTTAAGTATATTTTGATGATATTTGATCTGAAGGCAGGACTTAAACTTGTGACTCAGTATGTTTACAATAACAGTAGTATATGTCTTGTTTAAAGATCTCAGTGCTTCTTTGATCAATAACAGTACTAAGTCTGGATAGACCACCTCCTCGGAAGTTACTAACAGTAAAAAGTATTGTTTACCGAGGTTATGTGTTGTTGTTTTTGTAGACAACACTGTGTATAAGCATTAGCTGCTGTAGCGCTTTATTGACAGCCTGTTATGCTAGCTAAGCTAAGCTAATATCAGCTCCTTATCTATATAACATATATAATATAGTCGGTGATTGTGTCCGTGTTGAACTGCTGCTGGTCGTTTCTGTTGAATCACTGACTTATGAACTGTCAGAGCTGAGTGTAAACAGCAGTGGGGGCTAGTTCCGCCTAGCCCCTGTTCTCCCAGCCGTCACACAGAGCCACAGAGCCGCAGAGCGTTACCTGTCCCCGCTGGGTGCTGATGGTGGTCGCCATGTTGTCTCTGGGTATCCGCGGGAGATCAGATTCTGGAGAGTTCTTCAAATGAAATCACAACTTCAGAGCTGTCAGTGAGCAGATCGGATCTAGCTCGGATTTGTTACTTTCGACCCGGAAGTGATTCTTTTTTTTTTTAGAAAGCTTTATTCACAACCAGTTTCCCCATTCAGAATACAAACACAACTTTTACTGAGTGGAATCCCAACATATACCGTGATTAAAACGATTTATTATTAACATGAATAAACATATTTGTGATGAAGAGTAATTTATTATATTAAACAATTATGACAATGTCATAACAAGTTTCTCTTATGTTAGGCTAGTGTGTACACATCGTACAAATACATCAAATAGAAACAATATTATTTTCTCTCTACAATAACCATAGACTGTATATAACCCTATATTCAATATTTTCCAATTTGAATTTTTTTTTTACAGTGAAGCTAGTTTTGGACATCTGGAAACATTATTTCCTTACTTCTGAGTATAATCTGCTCTTTGATGAACATAACTCTTTTTAAGCATGTATGCGTCATGACACATTTTGGCCTGTTACATAGTGTATCATATGTAACAGGCTATTATTATATATAAATGCTATGTCAATAATACTGTAGCATCAAATGGGAAATGAAGAAGTGACTCATGCATATACAAAGGACCCAGTAGAGTGGTGCAGGAATGAGTCCTAAACCAGGAAATGATTTGGCATTTATAGCTTGCTCCTTCGTCTTGAAATCACTGAGATGTTGGTTAAACTCCTGAAAATAAGGTCTGTGGTTAATGAAAGTTTCTTTAAAACAGTTGTTGTTAAAAGTTGACCAAATAAGCCAAGCATTAGCTGCCTTTAGCTAAGCGGTGGTGACGCAAAGTCACATAATCACCATGTTATATTATGTTGGCTAATTAGGTTTGGCGATTGCATTTACTCGTAAACTATTATAAAAGTGGCATTAATAAGATATTCCTGCTGAACACAACCTGTACAATAAAAAGGGGTAACACTCCGATCACCTCTGCTACGCGCCGTTCGTTGGATGAGGCTGGATCTCTATTAAATTAAGAAAGGAATTGAAAACACCGGAATCAAAGTTATAACAAATTATCTGAGTTTACTTCTGGTAGGAAACCAAACACATATACAAGTTATACAGAGTACTCGAGTACTCCGGGCTTCAGGTTTGTGATGCGGTTTACAGGTAGACAGACCAGCCTTCAGTAAAACCAGAAGCATTTTTACACTCAAAAACATCAGTATTCATATCTATTTTTGGGGCGGAGATGTGTCGACTCTTCCTTCCCATTTTCCTCCCAAGCGAATCAGAGTTCCGTGAGGAGGAGCTGTGTAAGCTGATCACCTCCCCCAAGTGTCCTGATTGGCTGGATTCCCTTCTGGCCGGGTTCAATAGTTCTTCACCATAACTTGGAATTCCAAAGTTCTCTAAGGTCAAAAGTCAACCTCTATCTCCACCCTATCTACTCTACATTCCCTTCCCATGGGGTTTTTTCACATAAACTATCCTCCTTCAGACATTTAAACTTTTCTTCACCTATTTAACGATGTCTTTAACGACTTAAAACCAACATCTGGCTTTTAGGGGTGAAAAAGGCCAAGTGAAACAGAATCTCTGGATCAGTGAGTTTGAAAGTAAGAATATCCTTTCTATATATAATTACCCAAAACCGTTGTGATTACATAAAACAGTTCAAACAATACATGTTCACTAAAATACAATTCAAAATAATACATGTTTACTTCAATACAGTGTAGAATCATATCTTTTTACTTCACCTCTTATTTTCTTTTTTATATCACACCATAGATTGTGTGGAGCATGGTGAAATAAATAAAATGGAATCACACTTGGAGTTCCGACAGAACAGACGTAATATAACGTTTTCTCAAACATTTTAGTTGTACGGAAAGTAAACAACCAATATCAGGATCTCTCACACACACACACACACACACACACACACACACACACACACACACACACACACACACACACACAGCAGCTTCATGTCAGGTGGGAGGCAAAGAGAGACACGTCTCCCTCCTCAGAAAATAAACACTTACAAGGGGTTCGTTCTGGTGACTCGGCAGGAGCGTGTCTATGTTCCCACAGCCCGATGGTCCCACAGCCCGATGGTCCGATGGTCCCACAGCCCGATGGTCCCACAGCCGATGGTCCGATGGTCCCACAGCCCGATGGTCCGATGGTCCCACGGCCCGATGGTCCCACAGCCCGATGGTCCGATGGTCCCACGGCCCGATGGTCCCACAGCCCGATGGTCCGATGGTCCCACAGCCCGATGGTCCCACAACCTGATGGTCCCACATTTCTAAGTAATCTAACTATAACTAACCTAACCCTAACCCGAACCATTGGGCTGTGGGAACATAGGGATGACCCCGACTCGGCAATGTCTCTGAACGATGTAACACTCAAATTTGTACCTAAATGCAGTAAAGCAACATCACAGAATATTTGTGAAGGCTTTATGAGCTGCTGCTCTGCCAGGTATGCAGGTAGCTTTTCCTTTTTCAGATTTCAGTCTCAATTAGCAGTTAAAATGCTAGTTGTCGTGCATCTCCATGAGATGTAAATAAAACTGAAGAAATACATTTTTCTCTCCTGTCATAAAACAGGAGAACCCTGCTAAAGGAACCGGGTGCAGGTGGAGCTCCACAACAGAACACAGACTTTACTCCAGTTTGTCATGTTATCACAAAATAAACACTTATTTAGCGTTGCTGACCGGCCTCGAGATTAATTTGGTTAGAGCTTCACCTTCAAAACTGAAGGGCTATATCAGTGGTATTACAGGCCCACTTTATAAGAGATTATTATCTTCTGACTTTTAAAATATGTGCATTTTAATAATTTTACAAGATTTAATTCAATCTTTTAATCTTTTTATCCGAAGCCTTGCAGCTGGAGCAACACCCGGTCCTCTCTGGTCTCTGGTGTTACCGCTGTGTTGTACACAACATTTAACACAAATATTAAAACATGAAGGATGCTTCTGGTGTCCACACATTGTTTTCTATAGTGTATAAACAGAGTGACATCCCAGATATCAAAACTGATTGGAAATATTTAGAATACCTTTAGGATGCCTGTTTTTTGGACCAATTACAACAGGCACCCTAAATGTATTCTAAATATTTCATATCACATTTGAATGTGTTTTTTAAGATGACATTTCAGTGAGAACCTTGTCATTCTCAAAACTCCTTTTCTGTTGTTAAAGTCACAAGAACCGGTTGCAGCTTTACAGAAAGCTTTTCTTAATTTGTGTACAGTAATCTGAGATAAATCCCCTTTGTTGTAACCTCGCAGAGAAAGAAACATTACAGTTTTATTATTAAATATATTTAAATCTTGTTTAAAAAGTATATAAATATGTTTGTCCCGGCCCATAGAGAGCCGAAGTCCCTCCCTTTCCGGGGGACCTCCATGGGACCTTATTTAGGAAAAAATATGTATTGAAGTCAATGGAGAGAGAGAAATTATCTTTCGATCCCGTTTGAATTGTGCCATGAATTACACATATGATGTTTGTCAATTTAAAAGAAAATGTTGCAAGTCAAGAAAAAAAAAGTTTGTCGTAAAACTGTGAAGTAACACTTATTTTTGCGTGAAACCGCTCAATTAACTACATCTCAGGTCTCGTACAATACACGTCACCTTAGTACATTTCACCTCTTTCTTTCAGAATGAGGCGGAAAGTATTAAACGAGGTGAAAATCATTACACGTCTGGGCATGTTGAGAGCTGCAAATACACAAAAGTGGAGTTAGTCGGTTCCGTAAGAGCCAGCGTGCGGGACCGACTGTACAAGGTTTCGGTGAGTGTTAAACAAGTGTAATGTGTAACGTTAATGTCAGCTAGCTAACATTAGCTAACAAGGTACACTCCCGTGTTTTGTTTTAGCAACTCGTTTTCTCGTTAAGAACTGCGTGATCGTATGCTGTTGATAACATTAGTGTTGGCAAGGACAAGGTACACAGAAAACTAGTTGCTAAAACAAAACACGGGAGATTTGTTGACAAAATACATTTAAAGTCAAAGTTTCAGGTTTTCAGTGATAGAAGCAGCACCCTCTAATCAGCTGTTAATTTCCAATGAGTTGTAATGTGTCTTAAAGGCTGGACTGTTAGCACATGTGAAGTTTGACCAGTGTATGACCATTTTCATAGGAGTTATAGCAATATCGTGTTTAACGGCGAGGGTTGCGTTGACATGGCAACGGCTTTTGAGGAAAACTCACAAGTGGCACATAGACATATTGAGGTCCGGACCATTAACCATAATCTGAAGTCTAGTGCCGTTTGGACGATTTTCCTTTTTGTTTAGTCTCCGCACCCTAGATATACGTAGCAATTTTCGTTCGTTTACGTGAAAGTGGGGGGAGTTTACGTTAAAACGGAAGTGGGCTTGGCCTACACACATTTTTTACGCAAAGTTCCGGAACCAATTCCACATCGCAATTTTCACCAGTCCTGACGCGCGTGCAACATTTGGTGAGTTTTTCATATAAATTATGTAGCGAAGCCCACGCCACGTCACTGTAGTCGCGCGGGTTATCTTCCGTTATGATTTCGGAACATCTTTCTTGCTTTGCCGGTCGTTTTTCCTGTTTTGTGTGTGTTTGGCAGGGTTGTTGCTCGCTTTGCGAGCGATTACAATAGGGTCTTCGCCGACCTCTGGTCTCAGACCCTAATAATAATACTATCGATATCAATAATAAATTGTGCGACGTGGGCACAATTCGTGCGTGTGTGTGCGCTTGTGTGTCCCATGTTGTGATGTGTGTGTCTGTGCTTTTGCCCGTCGTTTTCCCTGTTTTGTGTGTTTGGCAGGGCTGCGCGAGAGATTACAATAGGGTCTCAGATCCTAACTACTGAGGGAATTTATGATATCAGAGAATTAGGCCCAGACAGCATGCATGATTTAAAACAGGGTTGCCAACTCTCACGCATCTGGCGTGTGACACACGCTTTCACTCTCAATCTCACGCTCTCACGCTGCCCAAACTATTCTCACGCCAAAAACAAGATGAACCGGCGATCGTTTTTGGCTGGTTATTTACAATGTTGAGTTGACAGCTGCTCAAGCTGTCGATCCGCTCCCTCCCCGCCCCCACCACTCTTAACAGACAGCAGAGCAGTGGGAGCCGGTTGGTCAATCCCCGACCCGTATTGCGCATGCGCAGATCTAAGATCCAGTAGAAATGATAAAAAAGTAAAAGTCTGCTGCTTATTGTTCTACCAGGCCAAAATAGAGTCAAAGAGTACATGAGAGTGAGAGTGTGTTAATTAATATATTTGGCAGTTTGGAGTAAGTCTGTAGATTTGTTTGTGTGTGTTTCATGTGTAGGCCTCTCACGATAATTTATTTTGTTGGATACATTTTCCTGGAAATTATTGCGATAAACGATAATATTGTCGGCACCGTTGTATGACCATTTTAGACCACTGACATAATGATAATATATAATAATAATTCAAGTACATCCTTTCAAACTGCTAGTCACATCCTCATGTAAATGGCAATTTATCGAGGTCAGAAAAGTTATCGAGTTCATTTTTATTTATCGTACGATAAGTCAATTAATTGCTTATCGCGACAGGCACACAATAAAACAGTGGAAACAAACATGTTTGACTTTCATTAGCGAATGAAACTGTGTGCCCTTTATAGTCTGTGTCCATTATTGTGTATTTGTATATATTGTATATATATCCTATATATATATGCTAAGGTCCCGCTGCTGACACGATAGCAGTCATTTAGTGCGCATATTTGTAATTAAACCCATGATATCAAAATCTCACTCCAGCCAGGTACCCAAAGTTGGCAACCCTGTTTAAAATGTAGACTCTTTTTCATTTTCAATACACTTTTAAACAATCAAAATTCTCTGTTCACGTGCAGATGTTCTATCTCTCTGTCCCAGTGTTCTCTTCTTCTCTGCTCCTGCATGAGAGCCGCTGGAGGCTCACTAGTTATAAAGTGAGGTTAGCATCGGTTTAATATGATTAGCAAGGTCTGTGTAGCATGATAGCTCAAGCAACAGGTCGGTAAGAAAAATGTCTCTAAACTTAGGCATTTGTGTCACTGTGTTATTCAAACTATCATCAACGTTGAGGACTCCACACTTCAGATGGATCATATTTGAAAACCTTTTTTTAGCTTCGTCGCAGGCTAATGAGGTGCCATCTTTGCCTGTTGGTCCTCCTGTTCATGCGAGGAGCCGATTGGTGCTGCAGGAACCTTCTAGAAGTTAGCCCTCCTAACCCTGTTACACACTAGGAAAGGACTAAGAAAAAAATAAGATATAACTGAGTATCGAAGCAGGATGAGAGCATGGGTGAGTGGTAGCTTACCCTCAGTGTGGGTCTGTTGGACACACAGTACACACACAGAGGCCACTTGTGTTTGATATTGATCTGACACCTCACAAAACTAATTTCATGTTGCAACCAGTGGCACTGACATGAAGCTGTTCGACACACATCATCTCTGCGACTCCGTAAAAAGAGCAAAATACTGATTGTGCAAAACATTTGGCACCAGTTTATTCATAATTTAATTTAACACAAATTAGATCACATTTTGCCAAGAATTTCAGTGCAGATAATACAAAAACATGCATACTAAATACACTGTGACAAAAGTCCCTCCTCTGGATTGTGTGTGATTCTGCACACATAGAAGAACAGCATGTGTGCTTCCAGTCAAAAATACTGACAGTCCTCAGAACATATCTCTAACGGAAACCATTACCCTCTGCTAGCCTAGCATTAAATTACTAATATCTAACAACACGTGATCACTAACCTGCTTTGAAAGTGTCAGTAATTTGACACACACACACACACACACACACACACACACACACACACCCACACACACACACACACACACACACACCACACACACACACACACACACACACACACACACACACACACACACACACACACACACACACACACACACACACACACACACACACACACACACACACACACACACACACACACACACACACACACACACACACACACACACGTCAGGTGAGCTAAATCACACACAAACAGAGCACTGCCCACAACACAGCAGATCAAATAAGTTAAAGTCACACTCCGCTCAAACTGGTTTTGCAAAAACTAGTGGTTATGTGTCAGTTCTACAAAAATAGATTCTCTGTTTGGATTGTAACAATTTCAAATGAAGCCTAAAACGTTTCTTGGGGCAGTCTTCCCCGACTGGCGGGACAGAGGACAAACAGAATGGAAGACAACCAAACACAACCTCCTGGTAATCAATGCCAAACACAAGGTCAGGGGAGACATTGGAAACATCAGAGAAGAGCAGAAGACAAGGACTGGACGATGAAGTGACGCCACAGCAACATGCTAGGCAAACAGGAAGAGATCTAGAGAGAACAGAAAGAAAAACACAACAGGGAGACACACTAAGTTAAACTGCAATGGAACACAGACAGGAGAGAGGAGGAAACTAAGAATGAGAAAACATCAGTGTACACAGTCAGGGACAGAGAGGACGACACACACACACGACATTTGAAACAAAGCACAGCACAGAATGAATGACACATGCAGGTTCACCAGAGATACAGATAATCACCTATGGAGAGGTCCACAATAAATCACATCAATAATATATAATATTATATTTAATACTGATCTGTTCGTATCTATTATTATTAAGGGTTAACTGGTATTCATTTATTGTAATTAAAAAGTGATGAGAATGAAAATAGAAATGTTACTCCAAATGACTGATGAATGAATGGATTTGAAAAATGCTTTAAATGTTTTTATTTTAAATGTACCATACTAGCAGTATTATATGTTTTAGCATAATTCTCAGAACATAATATTTAATGTCACAGCTAACCATTGTGCAAATGTTGCAATTTGTTCAACCATTAGAATCAGCTAATAGTTTCTGTATATCTTTGTTCAATCTGGAGATAGTGGATGAGTTTACTGCGATCAGAACTGATTTATGTCAGTGTCATTGATTGGGTGATCACTTTTTAAAGATTTACTTTGTACACACACACACACACACACACACACACACACACACACACACACACACACAGAACACAGTGGTACACACACACACACACACACACACACACACACCACACACACACACACACACACACACACACACACACACACACACACACACACACACACACACACACACACACACACACACACACACACACACACATATATACACCTTTGGTATACAGTAAGACACTTCTTCGTGGTGACGTCTGATGGTCACACACACACACACTTTTCCCGTCTTCACTTGGGCTCAACCTTCGGACTTGGACCTGGAATCAGTTTTAAAACTAGTCCCAGTTCTAGAACTCGGACCAGAACCAGGCCTGGTGTGAAGTTGTTGACAACCAGTGAAATCACACTCTTCCTCACATTAAACAGGACCAACAGACACATGTTGACATGGACCTTTAGAATAAACTATGCTACCTGTGTTTTTGTAAAATGAGTGGTTTATTCAGATGAAGGCATATATGACAGAGAAGGAGATCTAAGAAGTGTGCAGCAGCACTGATGGATCCTACACACACAGTCCATGCCACACTGACACAAAGTACACATCACCAAACAGGCAAGGAAAAGACACACACACCGGTGATCAGATTCAGCTGTTGGACTAAACATCTGTCTTTCAAAAATAATTTCAATTCAGATAAATAATTTAGGCAATAAATAGTTCCCCGACACACAGGGGAAGTATAAAACCTATAACAAAATTAAAAAAGGCATAATAGTTTAAATATACATCTCAACAATTGTCTCACTTCCTAGTTCTATAAAATTAAAACACAATTTTTTGCAACTCTACGTTACTAACAGGTTTGCCTTGAGCAAGTTGACATTGATATGAATAAGAGTTCGGTGAGAGACACAGTGGTGTAGCCCTCTGTAGGTTAGCTAGCTGTTAGCTAGCAGGACAGTTGCTGAGGGGTGTTGGTGATTCTTTACTCAACACCAGGATTCAGGGTAGAAAGTTACTAAAACCATCAAATAGATTCAAACAAAGTAATGAATGTGCATCAGACAGACTCTGGGTTATTCAGATGAAGGTAACAGACCTATCATGTTTGGTTTTTACTTCACAGTATTCCCAGGAACAGCTGACATCAGCAGCAGAGGAGGAGCTCCGCTGAATCATACTCTGTCCTCGAGGAATCTCAAGACTTAAGTACAATTCCATCTGCAGTGGAAGTGAGTCCGTCTGACGTCCAGATCAAAGAGCACAATAACTAAAGGAGCAGCCTCTAGCTACAGAATGGTGCAGTGATGATGTCTTTTTTTAGGCCGACAAAACGCAAAATCTCCAGAAGTAAAAAGCTAATGTCAGCCTATAAAGGAACTACTTGACTTCACATCAGCATTAGACTAAGCTAAGGCAGCTAATGTTTGGTGTGATGGCGTTTAGTCATCTCATTTATACACTTGTTAGCAACCTCTGTTTTATGCCATATAGGATCTTCAGACATTCACCAGTGGGGGGTTAATTAACATATTCTATACGTTATATAGCTAACACATGAACATCTTTTTTGCTTGTGTTAACCACAGACCTTATTTCAGGTTTCTAATCATAAACAAGTTCGAATCGGATGTTGGAAAATACTGACTTATATCCAGGGTTTTAGGACTCATTCCTGCACCACTCGATCATATCCAGCCAATGTTTGATTACAGCTAAACCTATATGTTGTATGATGTGCAGAATCCACTTGAGGCACCTTGCTAAATGCAAGCCCTTCAGCAGCAGCAGCAACACTCAGATAGAGAGAAGCATTCAGTCTGTATCACACTGCTGCACAACTGCAACACACACATACTGCGTCAAACTCACACAGTGAGGACTAATATGTCTAAAATCTCTGAGCATGTTTGAGTGGAGCTCCTCCTCATGAACGATGTCAGCTTCTGTACTTACCCTGACCCTTACATCTAATGTAGGCGCATATCACATACACTGTCTCTATTTTAAGAGATAATACAAGTGTTTAATATAAAAGCAGGTTTGAGAAAATGTAAAGTAAACGTAGTTATGATTTCTGTTCATCTGCCTGTTTTCAGGAGCATACTGCTCAGTCTGGGTGGGGGGGTAAACAAGAAGGAAACAAAGATGGATTTGGCACGGCTCTGACCACACTGTCAATGTGCAACACGTCCTAACAATCAACTCATATGTGTATAAAGTACCACAGCAAACTGATAACATTTCAACTTAAAAAAAAACACCTGTTTGTCTTATTAGTGAAAGGAAAACAAAGTGCACAAACCACAACATAGCACATGAACAATCCAGTGTAGCCTGAAAGCTCTTCGTCATGTGACCCGCTGGACATGTGAGTGCCCAGAGGCAGAGCAGCGTCACCCTGTAATGCATAGACCAGTTCTGAGTGGGCCAGGCTCCGTTATTCACACTCCACTTACCATAACAGCACCCTGCCTAGCTAAGTGTTCAGTACGGCTTGCTGTCGTTCTTTGAGCGCTTCAGCTGCACCTTCAGCCGCTTCATGCCGATCTGGAAGCCGTTCATGGACTGGATGGCGGCCTGCGAGGATACGGGGTTGTCATAGCTCACAAACCCTACAGGAGAGATACGGAGGAGAACAGCTTTAAAAAGTCCCTCAGGGAATGTGCAGTCTGGTAAGCTGGGCGTGGCAGAGCGGAGGGAGCGCTGTAGCCCGATAGCTCACACTAGGTTATTAAGGTTATAGATTTTTATTACACGGCTAATTGAATATTCTATTCTGATTGGTCAAATTTGGACATTTCAGAGGTTGTTAATACTCGCCAAATAATGACCGTTGCTATGGAGGATCAAGGGAGAGAAAGAGGTTAAAAGACAGGGTGTTGGACGTCAGAGAAATCACCAGAAGAAGACAGACAGGAAGTAAACACTTAAGGGAACAGCAGAAGAAGACAGACAGGAAGTAAACACTAACAGGAACCCGGTATGGGCTCTTTAGTGTTTAAGGACTGGTTAGTGGAACAGAAACTGTGAACAGAGTTGGACAGTTACAGAAAACATTGTTCAGTGCTGCTGTCAGTTTAAATCACGTTGCTGTTGTCTCAGTTCCAGCCGTTGGTTCGTGAAAAACTGACTATTTTTTTCTTAGCAGAAGAGATATGATCATTTTTAAGTCAATACAAATTATTTCAAGTCGTTAGTTATTTAGAATGTGGCCATGTAATAATAATGTGCATCAAGGCGGTCAATAATGAAAAAAGAACACCCTTGCTGAACATTATCCCTTACTTACAAGGGGTCTGACTCAGATATTATATTGATCAAAAGCTTATAAGCTGAAGTACTTTGCGTAACTCACCAAAACACTTGCTGAGGTTTGTCTGTTTGTCGATGAAGACTTTAGCAGAGATGACATTTCCAAAGGGCATGAACATCTGGAGCAGGTCCTGGTCTCCAAACTCCTGCGGCAGGTGGTAGATGAACAGGTTGGCACCTTCTGGACCTGCCAATAAAACAGCAGTGATAAATTAACTCATGACTGACGGGAAACCTGTGTAAACTTCATTTATTTTTCACCACCGTCCCAAACCAGTACAGTCTACTGTGCTTCATTTTTAGGGAAGGATTTGTTCATTTTCAAATTTGGTTAGTACCTTCCTGTGTTATTAGATGATTATGATGTGTAATTGTTTGAAAGGGTGATGTGAAATACTTCACTAAGGAGTTCATGCATGTAGAAGGCCAAGAAAACCTGGTCTGAATAAGAAACTGTAATCCCTCACTACAGATAGAGACTCTATCAACACAACACATGTCTCTGTTTCACAGTCAAACTTTATTAGAGCGCTGACAGATTACAATAAGAAATGCATGATGTTCTCTACAGTCATTTGAGAGGGTATCAAACAGATCATCTGTAGCTTTGAAAACATTTCACAGCATAAATATATCAAAAACAATCTGTACAAAGTAAAAACTTTCCAAGAAGTAAAAATATATAGGTTCCTCTGTGAGACATGGAGTACAGTCCTCACAGTAGCTGCTGATACTTTAGTTACATGAGTTACTTTGTTTTATAGAAGATTACTCTCAGCTACATCATCACATATCTCTTCACAACTAATGCTTTCTTTTTTTCCCACACATGTTGCATGTGTACAACAAGTTCCCTCCGTCAATACTGTCACCCACACACTGCGCTGTGTAGAGACTGTGTGCTGCCAGAGAGTTGGGACTCTTCCAGTGTAAAGAGCCATAGAGCGAGCGACATGGCTTCTGGGCGCAGCTAAACACAAGACAGTCCTGTGTGGCTTCTGGGCGCAGCTAAACACAAGACAGTCCTGTGTGGCTTCTGGGCGCAGCTAAACACAAGACAGTCCTGTGTGGCTTCTGGGCGCAGCTAAACACAAGACAGTCCTGTGTGGCTTCTGGGCGCAGCTAAACACAAGACAGTCCTGTGTGGCTTCTGGGCGCAGCTAAACACAAGACAGTCCTGTGTGGCTTCTGGGCGCAGCTAAACACAAGACAGTCCTGTGTGGCTTCTGGGCAGCTAAACACAAGACAGTCCTGTGTGGCTTCTGGGCAGCTAAACACAAGACAGTCCTGTGTGGCTTCTGGGCGCAGCTAAACACAAGACAGTCCCGTGTGGCTTCTGGGCGCAGCTAAACACAAGACAGTCCCGTGTGGCTTCTGGGCGCAGCTAAACACAAGACAGTCCCGTGTGGCTTCTGGGCAGCTAAACACAAGACAGTCCCGTGTGGCTTCTGGGCGCAGCTAAACACAAGACAGTCCCGTGTGGCTTCTGGGCAGCTAAACACAAGACAGTCCTGTGTGGCTTCTGGGCAGCTAAACACAAGACAGTCCTGTGTGGCTTCTGGGCAGCTAAACACAAGACAGTCCCGTGTGGCTTCTGGGCAGCTAAACACAAGACAGTCCTGTGTGGCTTCTGGGCAGCTAAACACAAGACAGTTCTGTGTGGCTTCTGGGCAGCTAAACACAAGACAGTCCTGTGTGGCTTCTGGGCAGCTAAACACAAGACAGTCCCGTGTGGCTTCTGTTCGTGGTCTGGCAGCTAAACACAAGACAGTCCCGTGTGGCTTCTGGGCAGCTAAACACAAGACAGTCCCGTGTGGCTTCTGGGCAGCTAAACACAAGACAGTCCTGTGTGGCTTCTGGGCAGCTAAACACAAGACAGTCCTGTGTGGCTTCTGGGCAGCTAAACACAAGACAGTCCTGTGTGGCTTCTGGGCAGCTAAACACAAGACAGTCCTGTGTATCTTCTAGCTGCTTTGCTTCCAGCATGTCCGAGAAACTAAGCTTTCAATTGAAAGAAAGTGATTTGCAGATGTATAGATGTATGTACACAGGAGGGGGCACATTTTTCAAATATTGCCTCAGACAAGCTTTTTTCAGTTTTTCCTGAAAAATCTATTTCAACTGTCTTTATTCAACAATTTGAACAATTCTCAATCTTATCCTTTTACTTGTATACATGAATCAACACAATGCATTAACTCATATACTCTAAAGTGTTTCAAATGTTGAAATGACACAGTTGGCAAAGTAGTTGTATTGAAAATAAAGCGCCGCTTTGGTGTTAAATAAGGAGTTAATGGAGTTCAGGTTTGTTAGTTTATTATACATACATAGTAATAGTAGAGTTTATAGAGAGGTATTCCTTCAAACTCTGGCACAGAATACAGATGAGTGACAAAAGGAATCCCCTTTATTATAGTTTCTTGATGAAATTCATTATTGCATAGGTATGTGTTGCCTGAGTAATGTGTTGCCTGAGTAATGTGTTGACTGAGTAATGTGTTGCCTGAGTAATGTGTTGCCTGTCACACAGAGTACCTACAGCCAGTTTAGCAGTGTCATTCTAAATATAGAAAATGGTTTTGGATAGAGAGAGTATGGAATGTATATGGACTTACTTTAACACACAAACAAACGTATTTGTGTGTTAAGGTTAGCTCTTCTACATTCCATTCCTGTTATGGACTCAAGCTATAAGGTGGAGCAGTGACATGATGACATGAGGCCGCGTCAGAGAAGGTGGAGACGTCTTACCGGTGCTGCGACTGTCGCCCGCTGACGCAGCAGATTTAAAACAAGACACAATGCTTAGAAGAAAGTCAACACACAACACACACACATCTGTACCAACCTGCAAACAACACAACTTCAAATCAAGTCAGGAGACAAGCACGGAGTATGCTCCCACCCTGTTAGAATTATTCTCCATTCAACTCACATTTCAAATGTTTTCCCTGAGTTTTGTAAGAAAGGATAACTTTGAAGAATGCTCATACATTAAATCAATTGAATAGTAAATATTACACCACTCTTTGTAAGTGGTGTAAGAAAATATTGTTGCAGTATAGTATCGCAATATTATGTTGTGTTACTGTACTGATTCTCAACAACACTATATCAAATTTGATTCAGCTTAATCTGTTTTAATGCATAACATAACATGTAACAGTTTTCCATATATTTGATTTTTGAACATGGCAATGAACCATCTTGAATCAACCCCTCATGATAACCTCAGTTTAAGCCTCTACAGCCCTTTATCCCTGCAGTCCCTTCCTCTGCACCTTCCCATGTCACCCCCCCTCCTCTCAGCCCCCAGAACCCACCTTCCTTCTGGCTGCCTGCGGCGGACACGCTCTGCTGGGACAGCAGGCTCTGGTTGTAGAGGCTGGGCAGGGCGGCGGCAGCGTACTGCTGGATGCCGGAGTACGCCTGGCTCAGAGCCTCCATGGTGTTTCCTGAGCCGTTAGACAGAGCTCCAGAGCCCAGGCTGCCATTCAGAGCTGCCATGCCTGCATCAGGGACAGCAGCCAGAAAACAGTCAGTAACTACAGTCACTGTCAATGTTATGGATATCAATGTTTATGGACAAGGTCGGTTGTGAAAATTCATAATAACAAAAATGTAATGTACATATAACGCACTTTTGAGGATACTCAAAGATGCTTCACATGAATGAAATAAAAGGACTTCAAACACAGTACAGGCGCACGGTATACCTGTGATATTAGACAGCTAATAACAATACCAGCAGACAGTGTGGAGTCAAGTCCATATCGCTGTACTGTACTGGCAGCATACATTTACATGTGCCTGTGGAACTACAGGCAGCTAACATTAACATCCATTCAACTTGAATTACATTCACAGGACAACCTCTACATTGCCCCCCCTCTGGCTAGCCGAGAACAAACTCACAGCTACAGAGTTATTATTACGCACACTGCCTCACTGCATTTAGTTTTTCATTTAACAAATACGACTACTTTGCACACTTAATAATGTAGATATCCTATGTTTACAGTTTCTCTCAGTAGTAGGTTGGTCTATACTAGAGTGTATTCGGACTTTCTTTATTTCTATTCACTCTATAGACACTCAGTTTATGTTTTTTATTTTTAATATTTTAATATTTACTGTTTACGTTATTTTTTGTTTAATTTAACTGCAATGCTGCTGTAAAAAAACAACTTACCAATTGGTGATCACTAAAGTATATTTGATATTTATGTCATCTTTATATTAACCCTGTCTGCTCTGTAACTTTTAGAGTTTCACATCAAGCGTACTTCCTGTCCGTGATCTAAGCAGTGCAGATGGACGGGTCCAGTGTAGGTCCGTACCTGCCAGGGAGCCCATGTTAAGGCCGGCTCCAGCCCCAGCAGCGAGGGACTGCAGGGCCCCCAGAGAGGCCATGGGGTTCAGTGAGGAGTTACTGCTGGAGGTGGGGGAGGAGCCTGCTCAGGGAACATGAACTGTTAATGTTGGAACTACACATTATACTATGTTACAGCTCAGAGATAAACACAGCATCACTCTGACCTTTGTTATTCATAATATAAAGAAATCATAAAATATCAATCTGAGAAAAGTAGAGTTTGGAAAACACAAGTTTCCTGGACTCATATGGATGTCACCTACTGCGTGTACCTTGACTATGTAACAGTATTGTATCATGTATTATTTAATGTCATATTGTTTTACCTGAGCTTGTTAGTGCACATAGTGGGCTACTAGAGGTTGTCATGGCGCTGGAGCCTGTGGGCGTGGCCTGTGTGGCAGTGGCAGCTGCTGCTAAAGCAGCCAGGTTCTGCATGGCATTAAGACCTGACAAACACACACACAGTTAGTTCAACATGCAGCCCCACCGTCCTGGGATCACTATCAGCAGTGTTCTCTGGAGTGTGCTGCAGTACAGGGTTGAGGCTGAAGCATCATGCTCCTTATGACTCAGAAGCCACCAGGGATCAGTATTAAACACATATACATTCAATTGTACATGACTGCATGATAGTTCATATTGGACATTGTATGAAGGCATGTGTGTGAGTGTGTGTGTACCTGAAACTGGGTGCAGGTTGTTGAGAGCGTTCCCTTGGGAGGCTGACTGCTGCAGCAGCTGTAAGTAGAGCTGAAGGAGAGAAGAGAACACGCTGAGGGGACAGTGGAGTTGTAACCTGGAGAAAGTGATTTGTAACAGGCTGAGTTGTACATCTTGCAGTAACACACACTCACTGCCAGATACTGTGGCCCCAGGCTGTTGAGGCCGGTGAGGTTTCCCCACATGGAGGCAGCACTGAGCTGCTGCATCTGCTGCTGCAGCTGCTGAGCCATGCGCTTCTGCTCCTTGTCCTTCTGAGTGTCCGCAAATTTCACCACAATGGGCGATGAGCAGCCCTGAGCACACACCAAGCATATACGATGGGTTTATTTGCAACTTAAGAGCATGTCTAATAATTGATACTTTTTAAAAAGCAGTGCTGTTTTACCTCCATGGTCTGGGACTGGTGCATGGACTTGATGGCTGACTGGGCCATCTGTCTGGCTGTGAACGTCACAAATGCACAACCTGGAAGAGAGAAACAAAAGGTGTCACAGAATTCTCAGTGCCTTGATTCAAAAGTGACGTTTTTACCAGCCTAGATAGCGATGTCACACAAATACATGTCAACATCCTGTACTATATTCCTGATTCATTCTCTCAGTGTACCAGAAGCCTAGAGTTACTATCTGCATTGCATGAATGTGTTCTAAATTCCAGGTGCTTACTCTTGGGAGTTGTTGTGGAGTTTTGTGACCAATCCTAATAAACCTCAATATATTTGAACCACAGACATGTTTGTGTGTCTTTTGTGGCATCATTGTTGATGAGGTTGCTGAACCACCTTGGTATAATATTCATCTTACCCACCTGTATTCTACAATTGATTGAATGTCGTTTTTTATCGTTATACAAGGTGTTTGACGACAGTTTGTTGAGATGGAGAGTAGTTCAATTCAATAATATGTTTTTTTATTTATGGTTGTTTTGTATGTTGTTGTGATTTGATCCCAAATAGTTACAAAAGACATTGAGAAAAAAAATAAAAGGCAAATTCAACAGCAAGAGGAAACATGTATCTGGGTTCTCTAAAAAACATCTACATTGTCAGCAAACGGACCAATGATGTTCTTCACTGATGTTCTTTTTTACACTTTGATCAACTTCAGATATTTATTTTACAATGCAGCTTTCACTAGTGGCTCAATATAAGGGGCAAAGACGGGTTTGTGGTAATGGGATCAGTTTAAGTGGCGTCGAGTCTCAAAAACTCTCCCATTAGACTCATCGGTTTGAACCTAATATTTTCAGGTATAACACTTGGAAATGGCCAACTAACACAATCAGCAGCATTTTCTGCATCAAGGCTGATCAATGTAGCTTTAGTGACGTGGGTAAATGTCCTGCAGTGTGGAGGGTTTGGTGACTGCTATCTTAGATGTGATGGCCCTCCTCATCAATTCATGAGGTCAAATTGGAGTTGGTCTTCAGTCTACTAATGTTCTCTTCTCTTTAGTTTTATTTCTGAGGTAAGAGTACTCTACTGTGTGTCATCAAGGCAGGTCAAGGTCCTGAGGGAGCTGTGGAGTACAACATTTGACAGGATTGCTCAAATTCCTCTATAATGAATTCATTATAGAGGTGTTAAAGGTGTGATGTTTTAGCAATTGTGTGTGTGTGTGTGTGTGTGTGTGTGTGTGTGTGTGTGTGTGTGTGTGTGTGTGTGTGTGTGTGTGTGTGTGTGTGTGTGTGTGTGTGTGTGTGTGTGTGTGTGTGTGTGTGTGTGTGTGTGTGTGTGTGTGTGTGTGTGTGTGTGTGTGTGTGTGTGTGTGTGTGTGTGTGTGTGTGTGTGTGGAATATATGACTCACCCCGGCTGAGTCCGTCGGGGCCCCTCAGTATCCGGCACTCCTCTATCTGTCCGTACGGAGAGAACATCAGCCGGATGTCGTTCTCGTTACACTTCTTGGAGATCATTCCAATAAACAGCTTTCTGTCTTCCACTGCTGTTTTCAACACAACACAACATCAAACACACCTGCTCTATGTCAAGGTAAATGGTGCCATATAATGTTCAACATGCATAAATGTTTTATTATGGCTTCTTTAGCAAGCCATGTTATGAACTTGAAAGCGCTTATCTTCTAACAGCTGAGCTCTGCAGTTCTTAAAGGATTCTTATTGGTCATTTCTAAAGACTGAAAGGTTTTGCTTGCTGTAATAATTCATCCTGTTCATCCTGAGCATAAACAGATCCGTATCAGTATGGATGCAGCTACTAAAGTCAACAGGGATTGGTAGTGAGTAATAAAGGAAAGAGGAGAATGTCAAATCCTTACCATTGTTTTTCTCACTGTCAGCGGGCTTCATCTGGATTGGGTGGTGCATCTGAACAAAGGAACAAATGACACATTAGTATTTCTTTTGTGAAATATAGTTTCAGAGTTTCATGGCTGGACTACAGGCCAGAGAGTAAAGTATGAAGAAGGCCACTTCTTCTTGACAAAATAAACATTTGAAACGTTTATTCCCCACTCATTTGTTTTTAGGAGAAAAAGGAAAAATAAAAGAATGTTAGATTGTGATTAATAGCCACCTGTGATCAGATACTGCAGGGACAATGCTTTCACAATATGTTATCTATTGTTATAAAAAGCATTTTGAGTGTGTTCCTGTGATCCTCTAAGAAAACAAAACGTCCCTAATGTCAAGTCTGTTCTCTACCGCCCCCTCTCCTCTGAATCACACACTCCTGTTCTGGTGATATTCAAAGGGATATTGTGTCACCATGTTGTGTCTATTTTTCCAAAATGTCCTGACTCCATTTTTGAAAAGTTGCAAACAAGACCATAAGCAACATTAAAGCAACTTGTTATTCCTTAAATAAAACACTTAACTTAACATCTACTTTTAGTCAGATTCTTTAGTGCAACAGTTTTCATTGTCAACACACACTTTGTAAATGTTGTAGAAACAGTGCGGTCCACAGAGAGCAGGCGTTCACTTACCCCTGGGAGAATCTTCATGTTGTGCAGTGCATTCTGGGCTTCCAGGGCTGATTTGCGAGTATAGTACGTTATAAAACAGCAGCCTGCAGGGAAGGGAAAGAGACCTGAGTTACACACCTGAGGTACACACTCACTGCATACTGTGTGCTGTGTGGAGGAGATGCTGGGCAGCCATAGTGATCTTTGATCAAACAGATGTGCTCCATGTCTCAAGGCACACCCAAACATTACCCAAACCATTTGTATAGCCAAGTTCAATAAAGGCTTTTCATGTTGTAAGTTGTTTATGTAGGATAATGCACAATGCAATATCAGCCCAGATATCTTTGTGACTAACTCAAGAAGATGGCACAAATATTCACTTAGCAAATATACACATGAAAATACAGAAAAATAAATCAAAGGCAAGGAACCCCCATTTCCACTGATGAATAAATAGAATATGTAGAGGTTTCCATTGTGTGTTAAGGGTCTTTTGGGCTCCAGATAAGCTAGCAAAACAAAGAGTTTGTTATGATGGTTATATAGGTTATAATAGAGAAGAGACTCATTGTTCAGCATTAGGATGTTTGGGAGGCACGGTATCTGAACCCCAATGATGTCACATGCAATGTCAATCACTTGAAACTTCAAATGACATGCTAGACTCCTTCAGATTGAACTGTGTGTGTTTTTATGTTCCTAAAGGCTGACCTTTGCTCTGCGGAGGGTTCTGGCTGCGGTCTCGGAGGACATTAATCTCGTAGACGGCTCCGTACGGCTCGAACAGCTCCCGCAGCTGCTCCTCCGACCAGGAGCGAGGGATCTGCCCCACAAACATCTTGATGGCATCAACGTCTGGCTGGTCGGGGTGATCCAGAGACCCGTTCATCTTCTTCCCACTGAAAAGACAAATGTGAGTTAGACGCAATACGATATTCCTAATAATATATTGTAACTTATAACTGCAAATATTCTCCAACAGCCTAATGGGTAAGTAAGGAAAGTAGGGATGCTCATAGTGTTCTTCTTTTATGAAACTATGATGCTGAGTTTTAACGTCAGATAATAATCATCATATTCGACTCATTATTTCTATGATTTGAGTATATATCACATGGAGGCAGGTATTCATTGAGAAATATAAACAAGATTGAGGTGGTTTCTCTGTACAAACACTACAGATATCTATGAATACATACAAACTGTAATATGGAGGCTAGTAGAAAATATCTCAAATGTGATGAGAACAGCAGAAGATACAACAAAGTTGGTAAGACTTTCTTTGAGTTTGATGCCACCAGGTAACATGTCGAAGTGTCCTCTGGACACTATACTAATCCCATATTTCTCCAGTATTAAAGCATTAGGTTTGGCTGCTCAGTGTAAAGAAAGTCATATTACACTGACATACCCATACCATGGTTATGTATAAGTAACTATATGTGCTAGAACACGCACTAGTATATTATAACATACATCTGCATGGCGCTGGCATAGATAAACAAAACCCTCTTATACTCTGCTGAAAAGTCCTAGAGGAAACAATGAATACAGAAAGATAATGTATGAAGAGCTGCCATCAAAAAAAGCACTGAGAGTTCAGAGGTCAAACACATTCCTGAAATGAGCAACAACCCAAAGATTAAAAAGGAATGTTATTTTCCAGAAAAACTATGACACTCTGAAATCCGATCAGAATGATCTCTCTTACTGACGGGTCCAGGAAGAATTTGGCTCATTCAGCTGAAAGTAGTCAACTATGGCATAAAGGGGCCTACAGGGGGCTGCCGATGATGTGAGCCCACCGTCTGCCTGGGGGTCAGGGTCTGCAGGGCAGCGGGCTCAAACTGAACCGTCCACTGAAGGGTAAATCCGGTCCACTGGATGACTTTGCAAGAACATCTGAGATATGTAAAACTGGACCATACACACCCACAGGGGGCTTTGACTTTTTACTTACTATGCATAGGCTGTAGCAATGCTACCGTTAACGTGCGCATTCACTTCAAAACCCAAGAAGCTGCGGGGCTCGCACATGTCGAACCGGCACTGCAATTTGTTCCTATACAAATACAAGAAACCTGCATCACACTTCTATCTTACACAATATTGATAAAAGCCATTCAATTGTAATGTACATGTAATTGCACTGTGTTTTTTTTAACCATTAAAAAGTGGGATTTCACTTCATGAAATGTAATGTAACATTATGGTTGCTTAAAAATGTTTTGTTCAGCTCTTGGATCACTTCTGGTTGCAAAATAATGATGGCCATACTCAAGGCTTTAAACGGTGGACAACAAACCAATGGGCGATACGGTGAGACGTCTCATATACGGTCTGTGGTCAGAGGTTGAACATTCAAACTACCAAGACCAGATCAGTTCTGTAAATGGATTGAACATAATATAACTTGTATATAATATAACTAGTGTACTTATTTACTGGCTGCTTCAATCACAGAAATGGATTTCCTATGATGCACTGACAGGGAAAATACGCAGGAGGAAACTGCAGGAAACAATAAAGGTAAATAACTGGCTGTCGTTGCACCTGCTTTTTTAAATCTACTCATTTAAAAACTATAATATATACTGCCGTTTTATTGTATTAATAGATGTTCTGTGTGCAATCCCAACCAGCCATTTTCCATGTACTATATCGCCAATGGCATAGAACATGAGCAAAAGACCTTCCTTAGGAAACCATGGTATTGTCTGGATGAACGCAGATGAAATGACTGCACAGCTCAAACACATGTGCTGATTGGTTTGATTGATTCATACAATGATAGGTAGAAATGTTAAGTGAAGGTGTTTACATCATCACATCAATCCAAACCTCATAATCACTCTACTATCTTACACTTGAAATAGTCAAATGCAAAATGTGATAATCCGACTTCTCCTGCAGAATATGGATGTATATGCTTTCAGTGTGATGTGTGACAGGGGAGGAGACAACTTCGGTACCTCTCAATCAGAAGCTGGCCTTAACTGGTTGCCATGTGTTCAATTCCAATGATTTATTAACATTCTAAGCATTATTCAATAATTGCTTAGCATTTGCTGAAATATTGTAGCTTGCTAACTAAGTGACAAAGAGGCAGCAGAGGGATGTTAGAACAGAAGCAGAAATGAACCTAGGACGTTTCATTTCAGAATAAGACACGTTTTCAGGTTTATTTATCCAATACATCACCAGTGTTTAGAGAGCCTTCACTATCCCTAGTCTTCAAATATATTGAGTTACTTTTGATGTTTTTTTAAAACGTATGACTAGTATGTGTAGTATTATTGGCAGAGCGGTTCATTTCACTACACGTTACATGTTGAAATGGTTCAGCAGCGGCTTGATTCAACTATTGCCTCCCTCATGTTATTGTGCTGGTGCACCTCGGAATCTCTGCCCACACAAACAGGCACTTCAACAGAGTTCCATTATCATTTCGGATGAAATATTTGCTGCATTTTTACCATTTATTTCCATAATTGAAATGTTCAATTATGCTCTAATCATGATTAATTGATTTTGGGCACTGCTTAGGTTCCATATGAACTCAAATAAAGGCTGGGGGTGTGGCTGTCACAAAGCAACCAATGCCAGCTCAGAATACACTCCTGGTGCATGTTATACATGTGCATGCTAACTACGCATCATTCAAATGTCCATGGCTTAGACATTGCATTACATTGAATACATTCAACAATGTAATCTTGCTTTGTCAACATTTGGTTTTTTCAAAATGAATCATCTAGAGCCATTGTGTGTGTGCTGGCAGCCTTATAACAGCATGCTTTACGTTTCTATGCCTCTAATGGAGTTTTCTCCTTTGAAAGCTAGCTGACGTCACGGCATGTCAGTCAGAGGGAGAGGGAGACAATGAGTTGAGCAGGGACCCACATGTCAACATGCTGCAGAGCTACATGTTTTTCATTGCCTACATTTGTTTTATAAATATGTGTTATGTGTGTGTGTTGTTCTTTTCAGTTATGTCATTCCCTGTGATGTTTATGGATGTAGTTTCTGATGTTTTTTTTCCATCAAAAATATGCATTATGTCCTGCTCAGTATCAAATATGTGCATTATGTCCTGCTCAGTATCAAAAATGTGCATTATGTCCTGCTCAGTATCAAAAATGTGCATTATGTCCTGCTCAGTATCAAAAATGTGCATTATGTCCTGCTCAGTATCAAAAATGCAAAAAAACATTATGCTAAGGCACTAGTTGAAAAGGCCCAAAAGTGGCAGTACCAGGGCGACGCACAGTACCAAATCACCACTCAATTGACTATCCTAACACTTGAGACTAAATACTTCAATAATGTGACATTACTGCAGGCTTGACAATCAATGTTTCTGATCAAATTTGCTTTTTTTTTTAAATAAAAATTCTGATAATGAGTTATTACAACTAGTGCGAGAGGCATTCATTGTTAATATGAGGTCGTTTTGGGGTTATTTCTTTAGCACATAACCCTTTTTGTAAAGAATAACAGACAGGTTTCCATCAGAACAGGAGCTTATTACCATCTGAGCTGGATCCAAAATCAGTCAAAATAATACATAGCCTAAAGAAAGGTATAGGAAGTTACTTCAACACCTCTTATTCACTGAAGTGCTGCGTGGAAGAACATTTAAACAACTGGAGGGCTTCATCGCCCAACACACTACAACACAGCTGCTCATGACTAATACTGCTACCATTCTAAATCAGAATAAAGCCCTTCAAATAGACAAATCCATTCAAACTGATATCCAGAAACATACTGTAACCCTAGGAAACATGTAATACTCACAAAGTGATCAGAGCGAGCTACTTACACAGGACTAGAATTCAAAGAGCAGTGATCCACCATCATCTCAGGGAGGAAATCCAACTTAAAAGAAGCCATGATGCCAAAATGTGTTTCTTTCTCCTTCTTCTTTGAACACAACAGGACAGTGGCACTAAATGGACGCACAGATCAGGTGATGGTGGTAAACTCCAGATGGTACACTTATTGGTAGGTCCCTGGCGAAGGGTATAATAAGGGCAGTGCACAAAAGGAAGAGAAAAACAGTGTGCCGCAACAAACTAATGCACATGGAGAACCCGTCCAGTGGAACACAGACACACAAACACAAAGTGGCTGCACCGCCTTCGTTGCGATGGAGGAACAAATGACAGACAAAGTGACAGGCCTTCAGGTTGGCTTTCCAGGTTCTGGGAAGGGGACTGACCACTGCATGCAGATCATGGGGGGCTGCTGGGATCACTGGGGCCAGAGAAGTAATGGCCATTTGGGCTCCCACAATCAAAGTGCTGATGATCCACGGCCTTTGTGAACATTTCTCCTAGGCCAGCAGATCTGGCTGCAGCGTCAGATAAACATGGTGTCAGATTGATGGTGATAAGGCCCAGTGGGCAGGGGGAATGAAAGAGGGAGTGAATAGTACTCCCCAGCCAGTAGCTAATCCCTGGACTAGCCACACCAGGGGCTAACAATTAGGTTCCGGCCAGAGGGGGGGGCTGTGTTTACCCTGTTGTCCTGCAGCCTGCAGTGGTTTGTGTGTGATTCATGTGTGTAAAAACAGAAGGAAGCCAATGTCAAATGACACAGGCTTTTGTCTCTGTGCAACCCACAGCACACACACAAAGACCCCCACACCTTTGCATTGAGATCAACTCTGCACTAAACAACACCCTGCCTTCAGGTGGTTGTTAGCTGGACTTAACCCCATGCTGCTGCACTTTGTTGTCATCCACACTGGAGCCTTTTCATTTTGCAACATGACAGCACTACCCAGGAAAGCACAGTGCTAATAAACAAAGTCTGTGAAATAACAAAACCATCTTTCAAGATCTTTTCAGATAAATGAGATGGATAACTTTATCCTTAACCCAACGATAATGGGGACCTGCTGTGCTTATCACAGCTATATCTCCATTACAGCGCACATATTGTGATGGCTAGCAAAACGTTGCAAACTCGTCCTGCCTTTGAATGCCGTGCTGATGATAGTGTTGCAGCATTATTCAAACTTGCAGTAGTGGAGAGGCCATATGATAACACCACTGTGATAACAGACAATATGAGAAATACTGACACTGCACTTAGCGAAAGCGTGCTTGCCCTCCATATCCGATCTGATGCTCTACACTAAAATAAGAGCGGTGTTGTTAGAAGAAGCAGAGTGATCTATTTTAAATAGGTTTGAACACATGAATTGGAATACTTATCATAAAATCATGTAGTGCCTCTAGCTATTCAGTGAGAAATATAATGTTAGAGATAATTATCATAAAGACATTATAGCCTGTAGATTGTACAATATGCCAATGTTAGGCTTTTACTAATGTTAGGAGTCGGACAAAATGTAAGCTAGTTTGATACCTAAAGATTTTGTCAAACAGTATGACAAAGAGTACGTTCACACATCCAATGGGGAGTGGGGCTCCACTCCATCTTCTCACGAAGTGCAGAGAGGACGCTCTGCCGCTCTGAGAGGAAGCTGCTCTGACTATCTGAATGGAATGTTCCAGCACTGCTCTGAGTTTACCAACAGGCCAGTTTGTCATGTGTCATGCAGGATCGTGAGGTTAATACCAACACACAAACATATCTGAGCAACAGTCACAAACCTTTGTGCAGGTTTGCCAGGCCTACTCTATTTGGAGTTTTTTGTTTGTTTTAAGCAATAACTACAACTCATTTGTAATGTAGCAAATGAGTTATATTAATAGTAAGACGCCATGACGATCAAAAACATGGAGCCAGTTATCAGACCATATTAACAGGTAGGTCTTATTTAGCATTTAAAGCATTAGATTACATTTTTACTTGCTTTTTGGCTAAGAACTGTTGGTATGCATTTTGCTGTGTGTAGATTTATATGTATGGACCTGATATGGAGTGATGAAGAAATGAGTCCTATAACCCAGAAATGTGTTAGCATTTCAGCACGTCGGGTTACGTCGTCTGAAGTCAATGTTTTCTGAATTCATTTTTTGATAAATGCCTAAAATAAGATATGTGGTTAACACAAGCTTAACAGATTTTCATGTTTTGTATTACATAAAATACATCAGTAAATATTCCAGTGGTATTCCGTGTTTAAATGATTCTACTAAAGGTCATCATGCTGAACATTAGCCGCCTTTAGCTTGGGAGTGGTGACGTGAGGTCATGTGACCGTGCTGTAGTTTGTTTATAATCGTTCAGTACATAACAGCACTTTAACAATCAGTAAAAGTGGTGTTAATATAAGAGATTATTTTCTGCAATTTTCCGAAATCAAATTGAAAGATCTCAGAGCTTTTGTGGAGGGAGCCCTTGGTGGCTCCAATAATCTGTCATCACTTCCCTCTATTGACTGTGTGAGAGAGATACATGGCTGCATGGTGTGGGCAGGGGGTCCACAGATTTTCCATAACCCCCCCCAAACGGCTGTCGGAGCTTCTTACCCCCCTAGTGCCAAGTTGGAGACCTCGGAGGTGGGGAGGGTGAGGTGGGGCTGTCCTGTCTGCTCTGGAGACGCATACAGGCTCTCAGGGTCCAGGCTATCCATCGAGGGCCTCGCACTACGACTAATCACACACCACACACACACACACACACACCACACACACACACACCCACACACACCACACACACACACACACACACAACACACACACACCACACACACACCACACACACACACACACACACACACACACACCACACACACACACACACACACACACCACACACACACACACACCACACACACACACACACCACACACACACACACACAACAAAGAAACACACCACCAATGTTTGCACATGTAATGAAGCTTAAGTGGAACACAAATGTGAGAGCCGGGGGGGGGGGGTTTCATCCTTTAAATATCAAGGTTATTTTGAATAAGGGTACATCACCACACCCCTGTGTCCTTTCGAAATAGGATCTAGCAGTGATGAATAAAAACTGCTAACATCAGGGGCCTTTATCACATGTTTCCATGCCAACATCTGTTTTCCCAATGATCAATCTGTGTGTATGTTAAATAATAAATACGATTAATTATTTCTTTTTAAAACTACTGCATTCAAACTGTATTACAGAGAAAAAATGTCAAATGTGTAAATAATTAATCAAATGTATTAATATGAAATACATTTCCATTGACAGGACACTACCTGAGAGTGTTTTTGTGAAACTTCCATAGACCAATTTCACTTCAAAATATTAGTGCACCACCCCGGCGTATTACTCAGAACTTCTGATTTAGACATTTTAACACAAGCTGCGTTCCTTCTAAATTCAGATAATTAATAAGTGTTAATTTTGTGAAAATGTGAAATATCCTTAAACGAGACGCCACATATCACCCTGCCTTATACAGAAATGAGAGTAGTTTTCATCATCAGTCCCCAGTAAGAAGGTTCTGCCTGTATTTGACATTTGCATTACTGTCTGTTTAAAATATTTGAAACAAATGTAGGTTTTGAATAAACATCTGTGAATAGGGGTGTAACCAAGGTATTTCTGCCAAGGCGAGGGCCAACCCCGACTCAGAGCTCTGAATGTTTAGACGACTGTTGTTCTTCTCTCTCTCACTATCTGTGTCAGCACCCCGCCTACCTGCAGCTGTCCGTCACTCACCTCTCTCCTGTCTGCGCTCTCTCACTATCTGTGTCAGCACCCCGCATACCTGCAGCTGTCCGTCACTCACCTCTCTCCTGTCTGCGCTCTCTCACTATCTGTGTCAGCACCCTGCATACCTGCAGCTGTCCGTCACTCACCTCTCTCCTGTCTGCTCTCTGACTGTCAGTTTGACAGGAGCCGCTCAGTGCACCCTGGTGGTTGGTTGGCTTTGTTGCAATATTTGGGCAAGTTGCACCAGACTGAGAAGGGTTCAATCTTTTTACAGACAGACAACAATCAGATCAGGTTTGTGGTGTTAAATTAATGACTTCAAATCAACTGGTTCTCCTGCATTACTGAACACCAAGACCTTTTTTATCAGTTCAGACCACTTTAGAGCAAAAATTAAAACATGTTCGTCTTTAAAAAAGCTATCATACAATTTAAATCAGCATCTAGAGACCCATCAACACTCGCAACATTGGAATCTGTAAGGCCAATTATGACAGGTTTGAGACAGCCCTTTCTTATACATCGCATATACATCGCTGCAGTTATTATCCAGTGGAATGTCCTTACCTACTGGCCCAGTTAAATCAAAGTGGTTACTTTTTTTTGGCTGGGCAGTGTAGTTTTACACACCGTCTTATTTTACTTTTCTCAGGACTTGAAACTGTTTTTTGGGGGCAGACCCCGACAAAGAAGAAAAATGTTTTACACACGTAAGGTCATCATATTAACCAGTGGTGTAGTGGTCGTTGGAGCGCGGGGATCACCGTCCCCCCCACTTATTTGGAGCCCCCACTTTTTTTAAGCATGATTTTTTTTGAATAGTCTAATAAATATTTAAATCATTGCCAGTGTTATCGGTTGCAAGTGTGTATTTTGTTGTAATAATGACGAAAAACATCATACATTTCACAGTAATTATAATAAAAAACGTAGCTCAAGTATTTATGCAACTTGATGATTTGAAGCGTGTGTGTGTGTGAGGGGCAGCCACCGTGTGTGTGTGTAGGGTGACCAAGTGTCCCTCTTTGTGCGGGACTGCACACACTGCATTTTTAAATCATTTGTCCACGTCCCACAAATTGAGACTATGTCCCGCATTTGAGTGACAGTCGCGCAGAAAGGCCGGCTCGGTTCGCTGACGGCCGGCACCGCCCTTTATTATTATATTTTTTAAACGGCATCATGTAAGTTGCGCTGACAGGCGACAGAGGTCCAGTCAGGGCCGGCCCGTAGCACTGGCGTTATAGATGTTCGCCTAGGGCGCCAGACCTGGGAAGGCGCTGCGCTGGTAGCTCTGGGAGGGAAAATAACATTTTTGACCGTTGGTGCTCATCCTAATTTTCGGCCTTGATGTAACAATATTCATAATTAAGTATTGCCCTGTACGATGGGCGCTGTAAGTGATGAAAATGGGGGATGTTGGCTTATCAGGCCCGCAGCTCACAGCCAAAGTGCGAGTGAGCATGGGAGCGAGCGAGGGAGAGCGCAGCAGTATTAGTGTTGTTATTAGAATCTGGTGCTAGCTGCTCTAACGGATATAAGAAGAAGATGTTTCTACAATAATGTGGAGGGAGAGTCCTCTCCAGTCAGACTGAGAGGCTGATAACTACAGCTCAGTGAGGTAAAGGACTCTCTCAGTGTTTAGATAGTTCACTTTAGTCTAATGGCGCAGTTCCACCATGGCGCGGAGCGCGGTTTAAGCGTGCCGTGTCGTGCCATGCCCGTTTTTGGTTGCGCTTCCACTAGGCCTAGTTACGGCCCGGCACGGCCCGGGGCCACTTTTTCACCTCTTTTCTGGCCCGACAAAATTGTGGTTCTATCGGGGCCAACAAACAGGGCTGAGTCGGGCTGAGTATGCTAAACTAGAGAGAGGAGCGCTGGCAAGGGGGCTACAACTACAACAAGATGGACATATTTGACCGTGATTTAATTGTAATACACGTTTCAAAATGATGCCGAAGTAACAACATACTGATACCGATTAGTAAAAACCATGAATTAATGCTTTGGCAAGTTTGCAGACAGACGGCAGGCGAAAAACCTTTTAAAATGCGTGTTTTCTAAATGGAGATTGGCTAAGCTAACGCAGGATATGCTCCGACCGTCCACACTCACAACAACGGCCTATACAGACATAAATAAAGCAGCGACTGTATTCACCATGACACAGACAGTCTGTGGTTTGTACTTGTTTAACTTTTGTCTAGTTTCTGAACAGATATGAGGAGCTGTGAGCTCTGAGTGCTAACAGATAACGGCTGTGTTGTTTTTCTGGGGTTCTCACTGAAGATGACGTCACGGCTCCGCCTACACTGCGTTACTATAGTAACTACCCCAGTTCCTAAACTGTAATGGAAGCGCAGCATGAAGTGAGCCGGCCCTGTTAAGGCCCAACGCGGCCAAGCAGTACCGAGCGTGGCTGAGGCCGACCGTGTGGTGGAAATGCGCCATTAGTTATCTCAGTGGGTCTCAAAAGTTTTGATCACAATTTAAGTAAACACATATTTCCAAGGCACTCCTTTATAATTATTGGGATAAACAGGTTTGAAATCATTTCAATGTATACTACAGGATAGGACAGTAAACCAAAAATATCGTTTAAAACTGGAGAGATAAAAAAATATGCATAGATAAATAAATGTTAACTAGGTAAAATAAGCTATAACAAAAATAAAATAAGTTACATTTATTTGTTATTGGCTATGGTATTGGTTATGTTCACATACTTATTTGATTATTAAAATGTAAACCGATCTTTTTCATATGGGTGTTTTAGAGTTGTTGTTGAGTCGCCAGCTAAAATCTCGCCTAGGGCAGCAAATTGTCTAGAGCCGGCCCTGTCCACAGTGTACCCCCCGTTGACAGTTCACGAGCGCGTCCATACAGTAGTGTCTCTCCCCCCCGTCCACCCCCGCCCCGTCCACCCAGTAAAAGAATCCCCACTACACCACTGATCTTAAGAGTTTGTTATGCTCATCGAGTCATCCGTGAGCAGAGCATCAAGTTGGCATGCCTATAACAGCTGAATGCGGCGATTACCATGTTGTTCAGCAAAACGCCTCACAAACTTATTAAGATCTAAAGCTTTAGTGCGTTTTGATTCAATGCTGAGTACAGCCAAACTTGACAGTCTCTTCTCTGTCATTATAGACCGCTAATACCTCATTCCTTCCGTCTACTTGGGGTCCGAATGCTTCTCGTTTTGCGCCGTCCCGTTCAAGTGAAATCGCCACCAATCAGACGGACCCGGTGAAATCTAGGGGTAAGGCAGAGTTTGGGTCTGTGTTTCAGTGTTCACCGGGGAAACAAAGCAATGCTAAAACTCTATTGTTTGGCCAGTTAAATAAAGTTAGTTGTAGGATAAATAATGATTTAGTCAAAACACAGCTGGTGATGAAAGGGTAGCTGTCATGTATGAAGGTAGATATGGTGCAAAATGCGAGAGCTTGTAAAACCTGATGTGAGCGCTTGTGTGCATACATTTACACTTGTATAAAATATCCACGTATCTGTGAACCAAATTTGAAGTCACAGAAGAAACTTTTGCTACACTTCTTGCGATGAATGTGTCGCCTGTAGATGTAGGGGGAGGGAGGGGGGTTGGAGCGAAGGGGACGGAGCTATCAGAACGACGAGGCGCAAGCTCGGGTCAGTCACACACAAACAAGTGACTAGTGACTACTGTTGCCCCTTTCACACCAACGCAGCTCCCGTTCTAGCTCCGTGCTTCGCTCACAACAACAACAATGGGGGACTGCGTCGGGTCGATGATCGTGTTACTTTTAATCATACGAAGCCAGATTAAATTAAATAACGACTTCTCCAACCTTATACTTTTCTCCAGAGTGCCGTGGTTCCTTTGTTTATTAATGTGTTACAGCGGCATTTACCGACCGCTACAGTGCTGCTCGTCCGGCACTGGAGTTTATTAACTCACAGCAGCGGCCGCTCTAAAGTATTCACTGTCTGACTGTCACACAAGCAGCTGATAAATATCCCCAATTCCCCTTAAGTGAATGTGTGTCAGTCTGAATTGACGCTGTTTGGCATCACAACGCTGTTATAAAAGTTTCTCTGGTATAAAATGGGTGATGTTAGCATAGCAACCGAAGCTACACTGACTATATTGACTAGGCTACTTGTTGCTTGTTGCTTGTTGCTTGAACTTGTGGCATAAGCCGTTTTCTACAGGCACATTTTACCGGCGTATTTTTCATTATGATTCTACTTGTGATAGTCGAACATGAAAACCTGTGCAGCCCATGTACTGATTCCATCCGATAGCTGCTATAATACAAAACAAAACGTCTGCCCCCTCCACAATGATCAATAACAGCGAACGGATGGTCAAATAAACAGAATCACACGAAGCCTGGTTACTGGTTAGTGTTGCCTGACTTTATAAAGTGTGTTTTTTTTACAAGTGTGTGGTTGCGTTCTAGTCACTTTTCTCAGCGCTACTGCTTGTTTCAACTTTTATTTGCCTTACGGCCCGTCCACACAGCAGCGTTAAAAAAATCTTGGAACGCTTCTGCCCATTCACTTTGAATGGGGTGACGTCACTTTGCCTCACTTTTCGCCGAACTGCATTGTGGGCAGCAGAGCGGAGATTTTCAGGATTTTCAGGATTCAAAGTTGAGCAATGTTCAACTTTTGAAGCTGAGGTGGAAGCGTCAGCCAATCAAATCCCGTGTATGCAAATCTGACAGTTCAAGCGCTAGCCAATCAAACGGCGTGTATGCTGGGAGAGACATACCGCAGGTCATTTCCTCATATTCCAAAAAATGGAGGAGAAATTAGCGGTAGGGAATCACCCGGTGCTTTATGACCAGTCCCTATTTACCTACCGGGATATAAACCGGAGGAGCCAGGCATGGAGGGAGGTGGCAGAGACAGTGGTAGGTTTTCGCCTGTTTTGGGGAGTTTATATCCAGTTTACTTCGGGCTTTTTTGCTTTATGAAAAGCATAAAGCTTTATGAAAAGCATAAAGCTTTTTTTTTTGGTATGTCGGGGGCGGGAGATTCATGTGATTGGTTGTTGGTGCCTTGCTCGCAAAAAAATTCCCAAGCTTCAGATACGCCCACCTCCAAGATTTTTTTAACGCTGCTGTGTGGACGCTCCGTAACGCAGCCTACACACGGCGGCGTGCGTTGCCGCTTGGCGGTGGGCGTGTCTTGAGCTTGGGGAGTTAACGCGAGCAACGCGACCAACAACCAATCACATGAATCTCCCGTGTCTCCCCCGGGTAAAAAGGCTTTAAAAAGGCTCCCGTGTATGAATCTCACCATAGACATTCATGTCTAAAAAGCGATTTTTAATTCATGTCTATGGTGCTATTTTATACAACATTCCATGCTGGCTAAATACTGTCTATGCCTGCTAGCTGTCCATTCAAACGAAGTACACTGGATATAAACTCCCCAAACAGGCGAAAACCTACCAGTTTCACCCACTGTCTCTGCCACCTCCCTCCATGCCTGGCTCCTCCGGTTTGTATCCCGGCAGGTGAACAGGGACTGAAAGCACCGGGTGATTCCCTACCGCTACGATTATTTTCTCCTCCATTTTTTGGCATATGAGGAACTGCGGTCTGGCTCTCCCAGCATACACGCGGTTTGATTGGCTAGCGCTTGTACTGGCAGATTTGCATACGCGGGATTTGATTGGCTGACGCCTCCGCCTCAGCTTCAAAAGTAGAACATTGCTCTACTTTTGCAGCGAGCACCGCGAGAAAAGCTACGCTTTGCTCCCACAATGCAGTTCGGCGAATCGTGACGTCACCCCATTCAAAGTGAATGGGCAGAAGCGTTGAAGCGTCAACGCACGCCGCCGTGTGTAGGGGCCGTAACTCTCCATAAACTGTTAGTTCAGGTTAATCTCGCCCCCCTCCGACGTAAGCGTGACGTATGCGGTTCTTGCCTCTAGACTAGACCAACACTTTTTTCGAGCTTGGTAAGAACCGGTTTTTGGGGAAAAGAGCCGGCTCCGCTGCGGCGTGAAAGGGGCAACATGCGGGGGTCCGCAGTCATCCGGTTTGACCTGACATGGCTGTGTGACTGACCCGAGCTTGTGCCTCCTCGTTCTGATAGCTCCGCACCTTCGCTCCAACCCCCCTTTCTCCCCATTTTCCTCCCCCCACATCTACAGGTGAAAATTACTTTAGCGACACATTCATCGCAAGAAGTGTAGCAAAAGTCAAGGCCGCAGATTCGTCGATTTATACTGCCACAGAGCAGATTCGTGAAGTTGTAATGACTGATTTGAGAGGTTGTAATAACCAAGTTGTAATGGAAAATATATTTAAAAAATATATATTTTTCTGCAAGTGAACATTTCATCACTAAGTTCATTTTTTTTCTACAAGCTACAAAACTTTTTTTTTTCTTCTGTCACTTCAAATGTGGTTCACAGATACGTGGATATTTTATACAAGTGTAAATGTATGCACACAAGCTCAGATTTCTTTTTCTGCAAGTGCTCACATCAGGTTTTACACGCTCTCGCATTTTGCACCATATCTACCTTCATATCACGGTCCATCAATAAAAACGATTTCATGACTAGTTCAGTTGTATGACAACATAAATAAACAAATGTGGTAAGGCAAACATTGATGCCCAAAGCCATTTGGTCTTAATAACTCAAAGTAATTTAGATAATTGAGTGCTGTCTTAGCATTAGACATACTCTTGAAAAGTATGAAGAAAAAGTATTTAGACAGTAATACCTTATGCCAGAAGTGTTTAAAACCAGCCTTTCAGCAGGGTCCTGTGAGGGACATGCTAAATGAGAGGAGTGACAGTGGCCACTTCCGGGTTTGGTGACATTCTCTTTAACAGACCTCTGAAATGCGAAGCGTAACGTTACCGGGGCTGCTTCACGGCTCCTCAAACAGCTGACATCATACCCTACTGCTGTAAACCACAGCAACTCTAACATGACGTCATTTCATAAACACATTACTGTCATATTTAACTGCCGTTCAACCCATAACAGTAACAGTGGATACTACGCCGAGCTTTACACTAGCGCGAGCTTCATTATTAAGACAACAACTGACAGCTACACACTGGGACTGTTATGGTAACGTTAGCTAGCTACAACATGCGTCTAATAATTTCAAACTTACCCGTGTTTCTACGCCACTGTTAATTTGACTTGTGCTTAAAACAAAATGTCGTGTTGGTCTGGTCAGCTTACAGTATAACGCTAAGCATGCTGTCTCTGGAGAGAGGCGGGCTGCTACACTGGAGAAGTTGTGCTCTGTCACTTTAGGTTCAGCTAGCAGTCACCGTGTAAAATGGAAGTCTCTCTGAACCGTTACCACAGGGGGGGGGGGGAGCAGCCAACATGATAAGGGCTATTTCCTTCAGCATAAGTTTTATTGACTTTATGTAGAGTTATACTTTAATGTTAAACATTGTTTTCTTTACCTTTGATTGATTTGTAGTTTTCCTCAAAGGGAAGTGAAAGTGCACTTGACAGCTCCCTGAGTTAGAGTGGGACGTGGTACAGTCCAGAGGAACAGCCTGATCATCTCCAGACAGTCTGTCCAGCTTCATCAGCTTCATGTTTTATTAAAAGATCAGATCACCTTTATTGATGGCCAGAAGGAAAATGTTGGTGTTGCATAAATACGTATCTTACATCGAGAAAGGTCAAAATAAAGTATACATTAATATAAAAGAGTCAAAATAAAAAAAAGTGTAATTAAATAGGAACTACAATAGAACAATTAGACTCTAAATTGAAATGTAAGCATAATACAAGCAGTATCCAACACCAGAGTGTTCAGTGCAAAATGTTATTATGCAGAAGCAACATCTTTACAAGAAAACACATGTACCAGCTAAAAATATCTTCAGCACAAGAATTAAGTAAGTGAGTCATAAATAGCCAATCCCAAATGTACCATGTGATCATTAAAAACATAATTAAAAACATACAGCAACTAATGTGGAGATGCACTACATGTAGTGTTGTTTGCCTTTTCCTACTGGATCCTGCGGTTAGTGTTGTTGATGCATTCTGTGCCAGCTTGTCCTTAAAAACCCTGAGCAGAACCAGAGCTGCTCACGCTGAAATGAATCTCTGTTTACCTTTTCCAACACTTTGGCCAGACACTGAGGTTTGGAGATGAGACATTTACCTATAATGAAGGCATTCGTGCAGTGGCAATGGTTAGATCTTGAGTGAAACTAGTAAGCAAGATTTATTGAGCAAAACTCAGAGGCTCTGTGCGTCTCTGTCTGTGGTTGGACCTCAATCCCCTGCTCTTTATGTAAATAATGATGTACGTCATTTGCGGACATAAACAATATACTTTTATGAAAATATAAATGTTATTGATGTTTGTGTATAAATTATGAATTCATGTTATGACAGAAGCGTGTGATGACTAGTCTTTGTGTGCTATGAGCCAACTTGGCCTACGCCCTACAGGGGTATTGGTAAGGAGGCATGGTGTGTTTCAGAGCCAAATACCTTGATTCACCCCACAGAGGGGACATTTACAGGGACATTCCACCTTCAAATGAAAGGTCAATGTGTTTGGGCCAGGGAGCTGCCACAGGAGCTAACCCCATCACACACAAGATTTACCCTCTTTTCAATAAATCATTTCTGTGTCGGATTCCTTCACTTTCCAGAAGCCTTTTATCTCGCCTATTGGTGAGCAGGTCATCACGTTGAATGGTTTGCCACTTTAAAAAAAGTGTGTGGGAAGTATGTTTCTCATTATTGTGCATTTGAAACAAAGGTCTGTGGACAGGATTTTTAAATGGATGGAAAAAGGCACCATGTCATCGCTGCCATTTATTCAGGGCATGAAGACAATCCACTCATGAGAAGTATGTGTTATACTGTATGTTCCACAGGTCTCCCTCCACATAATGCTTGCCTCTAACATATGACCTTGTATCATGTCACAGCTGGCATATTGAGGGTAAATCATTCTTATAATACTTATAACATTGTTCTTAATATTCAAAACTCAAGTGATTGCATCCCAAGACAATTAACAATGCATTTGATGTAGCCAATCACAGAAGCCGAACATAAATATATATACTTGTACAAAGTGTTGTCTTTATCAGTGTGAATTCATGTTAACCTCATACGAGTCTCCAGCTGTCGGACTGAGAAGCTGCAATCAGATTGTGAGCTAAATGAAATCAGCTAAATTGCATCAGCAAGCTAACATGCTCACAATGCTAATGTTTCAAGTGTAACACACGAAATACAGTCAATCCCAGCAGCTGATATCTGTAGTGTTCATATTGAAGAGGAAACATCACGACGTAGAGTTCTCGCTCATGTCCTTTGCGTCTCCTCCATGTTTCCTGGTGATGAACAGTGCTCTGGTGATGTCACAGGCTGACTTCCTGTGCAGGGTCTGGTGCAGGTAGCCGTTATAGAAGTCCCCTGCTGTCAGCCTCTTCTTCAGGACCACAGACCTGAAGCCCACCCAGCCGTCCTGGAGCAGGGAGCACACATTAACACAAAGACGAGGGCTGCACAAATTCACTAACATTGAGTAAATAGGACTTTCATTATATTTGACATACATTTGTTCAGCTTTAATACGAAAAGGGGAAAAACACAGGTGCCAGCAACTGAAGATGAAAAATATGTGAATTTGTTATAATTATAAATACATTATTGCAAGCTCACAATCTGATCCAGTGTTTGTGACGACAATGTTTTACAATAACACAATATATACTTTACTATTACTAACGTCACCTGACAGCTACCTCATTATGTGTATTATGTATTTGGACCTCCAGTGGCTTTTTTCAGCTACTTCTTGATAACACATTTAGTTTTCTCTGAAATGCTGAACACCCAGTTTCCTCCTATAACAGTTTGAACTAATCCTGCTTTCTGAATCACGGCCCAGAGTATTCAGTATATCACTGGAATAAAAAAAGTGTCACTTTGTGATTGTGTTTCAGTCCTTGAAACTGGGGAATTACATAATACATGTAAGTGCTGCAAACTCAAATTGAATAGAGTGACTGCAGCCAGGGACGGCCTTATGTTAAAACTGTTCCTGTTGTAACCACTAGGTGTCACGATTACCATGGCAGCAGTAACAAGAACGCAAACAGAGGACAATGGCCGTTTCTCAATGTCGAGTATACCTGCTGCAGAGCCACTATTTCAAGTATACTACGTCATCGAGTGGCGCCGAATCCTGGGCATTTAACATGCATTTAAACAGTCCTTCGGCGCCACTCGATGACGTAGTATACTTGAAATTGTGGCTCTGCAGCAGCTCTACTCGACATTGAGAAACGGCCAGTGAATGCAGCAGATCCCAGACACTAGAGACACTAGTAGGGTGTGTCTGTTTCATTTGCCAAGAGTCCATGCTGTGATGGAAAAACATAAAGAAACACATTTGTGAACTTATTGTAGAATGGCTTGAATACATTATGTTCATTTTTCCATTGGAGAGATCATCATATTTGTTAAGAGGATCCTGGTTAGTTTGTGAGGGACTGAGCATAAAGAGCACTATGGGGGTAAGAAATATAGCTCGATAAGAACTCACATGTGGTTAGCGCACAAGATTGTGACTTTGCTGCTTTGTTTGTTTTTGTTCTGTGTATGTTAGTGTATATTGTATTAAGTGTAGGTCTTTGTATTGTATGATTTGATGAACAAAGACTTTTTGATGCAGTCCTTAACCAGGACAGAGGGAGTCTGCAGTCAGCTGCTCAGCAGGGCTCAGTAACAGCTTACGCACACTGAAGCTTCACCTTTCTTTGAAATACAAATGGTACGTGACCATGCTGCACACTCCACACCAATTTACGAAAAGGCTTTATAGACATTATTTGAGGGACATTTGGACATTATGTCAAAACACAAATAGAAATATAGCAATACAACTGTGCATGGGGGGGCAGTAAAGAGGACCAGGTGTGTGAGTGAAACCACACCTTACAGCTCACAGCCAGAGTGTCGGACTCCTTCTGGTAGCTCACTGAGCCGGGGGCCGCTCTGCTCCTCTCATCTGCAAACAGAGGATCAATGACACACGAACAACACACTTTTCAGAGGAGAGAGAACACAATCTCAGAAAATATATTAGGCTATACTCGCAGACTGGTTGAACTAATGTTGTGCATTAACAAAGCACAACACTAAAACATTCTGTGTGCATTGTGTTGCGTTTGCTTGCTACGGGAGTTACATGCATGGCGTTAGTGAGGTCTGAATAAGAAGATTATTTTATTTTATTTGGCTCCAAAAGAAGCCTTATATAAAATCACAGGTAGCAGACATTAATGTCACCATATTATTCATCGGTATACATTTTATCTGTATATCAAATACACTTTAATTCATTTAAATGCTCACTACTGATTGGCTAAAGTTGTTTGACACTGCTGGTTTATTGCAGCTAATAGAACACCAATGAGAGGATTGAATGATCCATTTATATTTATCACACATGAATAATTATTAAATCAAGCTCACTTTCAGCACAGTTAAAGTTGAGGAGCTGTACAATGTTGAGTAGTCACTTTTGTATTCAACTTTTCACATCAACAGCATTTTTATTTGTAATTCTTCATAGGCAGAAGTAGCACATTTGTTTACCTTGTACAGTAGAAGAGAAAAGACACACTGGCATCATTCAGGAAACTATTCAAAAACACCAAATGTTCCAATATGATTAACCAAACGTACCTAATAATGAAATGTGACATCTTCCTACAAAATCCAGCAGCTTTATGGTCCTGCCCATCCACGTGGTCCTCAGAGGAATCTGATTGGAAGAGAAGCATCATCAGAGACATGCAGCGTGCTTCATTCCTCAAAGCCTACATGTCTCCATGGTTCATTACCCGGGAGCCGATGGCGCAATGCAGTCGGCTGATCTGATCACAGGTCTGCTCCTCCCACTCCACCCAGCTCATGGAGGCATTGATTTTGGGGGCTATATTTGGAAATGAATGTATAAGTATGAAGACGTTTTATGTAGCATGACTGTATCTGTGTAGTTCAGAGCTACGTACCAAATGTTCCCCCGCTCTGGCTTTGCTCTCTTTTATGAGCTATTCTCTCAGACAGAGTCCTCAGGGTATCAACCAGCTGCAAAACAAACACACAGTCAGCTTCCTGGGAGCAGACAGACACCTGACATGTTCAATACACCCACCAGGTGTGCTCCTTTAGAGGAGAGGGCCGCTTCCAGCTGGTCTGCAGTGCAGCCTTCAGGGACCTGATGGCGCTCCTGCTGGAGGAGGGGGCCCACATCAAACCTGGGGGGGAGACATTCTTAATCTCTGTGTGATGGCAGATGGTGGAATGTAGAATCAGGAGCTTTCCCCTCAGGTTACCTGTGAGGGCGGATCTGGATGATGGAGACCCCCGTCACAGCATCACCATGCATGATGGTGTGGAAGATGGGGGCCGGACCCCTCCACCTAGGCAGCAGGCTGGGGTGAACATTCAGAATCCCACTGTAGAGCACACACACACTTTATAAACACAGGTACACACCACACTGCTGGCATATTAATAAATAAAACATTATTTGTGATGCCTTTAGATAATAAACATCATCACATTCCAGGAGCTCAGATTAAGGAGCTTAAAGAGGGACTAACCTGGGAATTCATTTATCCCAAAGTAATTTATGCTGTCTTTTATTTTGTTAATGTTATTGATACTAGTGTAATTTTTTTTTTTTTCTTATTTAAAAAAATCTGTTACTCATAACTTCTTATAGTTTTGAAATTATGATATCAATTGAAACATTATTTAAAAGTATTCTTACAAAATTCAATAATTGTATGTTCAGATGAAGGCTATGATATTAGAGATGGCAAATCCGGATCCTTTTACGGACTCTGAGTCTTCTGAGTCAGTCATTGAAGAGATCCGGATCATACGAGTCATTTGAGTCATATGAGTCAGCATCACCAAGACCGTAGAAATCCTATTGGTGAAACCGAAAAGTTGTTGCATTTCACGAGCATATTAAACTGACGTTATATTAACCTCCGCTACACAGTGTATTTTGCTTTAATAAAAAATGTTGATCACAAAAAAAAAGGGTTATTTTGCGATTTGACGAATCTGAGTCTGCTGTTGACTCGTGCATGAGGACGAGTCTGCTGGATCTCTGGATCTGCTGCTATACGGTTACGGCTCTGAGTCCGCACGAGTCTGCTATGTTTTGCACAGTGAGTCAGGATTTGCGAATCTCTGAGTCTGCTGTTGACTCGTGCATAATATAGCCGCGGGAGCCGGGTGCTGGAGGCGGGGCTATGCTCGTGCACATGACGAGTATGGATCTCTGGATCTGCTATGCTATTACGGTACGTCTACACAGCAGCGTTAAAAAAATCTTGGAGGTGGGCGTATCTGAGGCTTGGGGATTTTTTGCGAACAACAATCACATGAATCTCCCGCCCCGCGACATACGAAGCAAAAAAGCCCGAAGTAAACTGGATATAAACTCCCAAAACAGGCGAAAACATACCACTGTCTCTGCCACCTCCCTCCATGCCTGGCTCCTCCGGTTTGTATCCCGGTAGGTAAATAGGGACTGGTCATAAAGCACCGGGTGATTGATTCCCTACCGCTAATTTCTCCTCCATTTTTTGGAATATGAGGAAATGACCTGCGGTATGTCTCTCCCAGCATACACGCCGTTTGATTGGCTAGAGCTTGAACTGTCAGATTTGCATACACGGGATTTGATTGGCTGACGCTTCCACCTCAGCCTCAAAAGTTGAACATTGTTCAACTTTGAATCCTGAAAATCCTGAAAATCTCCGCTCGCCTGCCCACAATGCATTTCGGCGAAAAGTGAGGGAAAGTGACGTCACCCCATTCAAAGTGAATGGGCAGAAGCGTTTCAAGATTTTTTTAACGCTGCTGTGTAGACGCACCGTTACGGTTAGGAGCCGTCGGCTCCTCTGAGTCCCCACGAGTCTGCAGGAAGTTTCACTGATCCGCGTCCCCTCCCCTGAGCCAAACGATCACTTCTGGCAGCTATCCTACTTGCTAAAGGGTAGGCAGATGGACTGGGGTACGTTGTAATGTGATTTTACATGTTATAAAGAGAGTAGCGAGTGACGCAATTTATAGTTTTAATTTGTACGTCACACCAAGTGTGGGACCCAAAGGACTCGGGTTAATGGAGAGGGGAGACTCGTCACGACCAGCTCATTTCTAGGATCCGGGTTAATGATCCGGATGAATCAGGACTCGACCATCTCTATATGATATGAGTAAATAATAAAAGTATTATTATCTATAGCAAGTTTTGTCTTGGCCATCATTTATAATAATAATGGTCCAAAATGTAAATGCAAAGTTAAATCTATTTTTAAAGACGTGTCCACACTGAGATCTCTGTTACTTTAGAATCAGAATATCTCTATAGCAGGGGTCGGCAACCTTTTTGATATGAAGTGCCATTTAAAAAAAAAAAATTATCAGCGTGCCAACGATCGAGAATTATCAACGGGGGGGGGGGGGCTGTTGAGGATGTTGAGGAGCTTGACGCTCGTGATCTATCAACAGGAGGGCGGGGGGGCCTCGCTGCGGGGAGGAAGCAGTGTGTGGACCTGTCAGCGCAACTTACATGATGCCGAATTTAAACAAACACATTTAAATAATTGGTCTTTTAAACGGCCATAATAATAAGGACGATCGTCCGTCTGTGATTCTCCAGAACACACATGTTATGATATTAGGGTCATGCAGAGTGAGATGAGATCGCTGTCCCTTTAAGAGAGAGAGAGAGGGGTGTGGCGTGTGCGTGTGAGTATGTTTCTGGAAGTGAAA